TTCTGTCCTCCTTGTCCTTATAGTTTACATTTTAAAAAATGTCATTTGAGAGAGGAAGCGAAGCTATATGTGTGTTCTGGCCATCATTACCAAGAAATCTTTTTTTAAATTGAGCTATAATTCACATACCACAATATTCAAGCTTTTAAAATTGTACAACTCAGTGGTTTTCCATATATCCACAAAGTCTGTAACCATCACCACTATCTAATTCTAGAATATATTCATCACCCCAGAAGGAAACCTCGTACCCATTAGCAATCATCGCCTTTCCTCCCCTCCCCACCCCAGCCCCCAGCGACCACTAAATCTACTTTCTCTCTCTATGAATTTGTCTGTTCCAGACATTTCACAAAAATAGAATCATACAGTATGTAGCCTTTTGTGTCTGGTTTATTTCATTTAGCATGATGTTTTCCAAATTCAAACATTCAGTGGCATGAATCAGTACTTCATTGGTTTTGAAAAAACAGCAGTTTGGGGCGCCTGGGTGGTTCAGTCAGTTAAGCATCCAACTTTGGCTCAAGTCATGATCTCACGGTCTGTGAGTTTGAGCCCCGTGTCGGGCTCTGCACTGACAGATTGGAGCCTGGAGATTCTGCGTCTTCAGATTCTGTGTCTCCCTCTCTCTCAGCTTCTCTCCCGCTCGCACTGTCTCTCAAAAATAAATAAATATTTAAAAAAAATTTTTTTAATAAAAAAAAAACAGTTCTGTTGATATATTAACTCCTCTTTATGGCTAAATAATATTCTGTTGTATGGCTATGCCACATTTATTCACTCACCAGTTGATGGATATCCGGGTTGTTTTCACTTTGGGGCTACAAAGAGTAGTGGTGCTAGGAACAGGTGTGTGCAGGTTTTTGTGTGGGCATGTGCTTTCCTTTCTCTGTGCCAGATCGAGGAGCAGAGTTACTGGCTCATATGGTAACCCTGTGTAATTTTTTAAAAAATATTTTTATTTTATTTCTAGGAGAGAGAGAGAGAGACAGCGTGAGCAGGGGAGGGTCAGAGAGAGAGGGAGACACAGACTCTGAAATAGGCTCCAGGCTCTGAGCTGGCAGTCAGCACAGAGCCCGACGCGGGGCTCGAACCCACGAACTGCGAGATCATGACCTAAGCGAAAGTCGGACGCTTAACCGACTAAGCCACCCAGGCGCCCCCCTGTGTAATTTTTTTGAGGAATTGTCAAATTGTTTTTCAAAGTAGCTGTATCATTTTATTTTATTTTTTTTAAGTTAGAGAGAGAGAGAGAGTGCGAGTGTGAGAGCAAGTTGGAAGGGGCAGAGGGAGAGGGAGGGAGAGAATCTAACAGCCCTTAGATCATGACCTGCGCTGAAACCAAGAGTCACTCTTAACCAGCTGAGCCACCCAGGGGCCCCTTATTTATTTTTTTAAAAGTAAATTCTACCCCCAATGTTGGGCTTGAATTTAGGACCTTGAGATCAAGAGAGGCGTGCTCTACAGCTGAGCCAGCCAGGTGCCCCAGCTGCGCTATTTTACATTCCCACCAGCAATAGATGACAGTTTCACTTTTTCCACATCTTTGTCAACACTTGTTATTGTCTGTCGTTTTGATTATAGCCATCATGGTGTGAAGTGGCACCTCACTGTGGCTTTGATTTCCATTTCTCTAATAACTAATGATGTGGAGCATCTTTTCATTGCTTATTGGCCATTTGTACATCTTTGGAGAAAGATCTGCTTAAATCCTTTGCCCATTTGAAATTAGGTGTTTTTTGACTGTTGAGTTCTAATACCTCTTTATATAGTCTGGACATTAGACCTTTATCAGATCTAATAATTTGTAAATATTTTCTTCTATTTTGTGGGCCGACTCTTCACCTTCTTTATAGTGACCTTTGAAGTACAACACACTATTTTTCTTTGTCGCTTGTGTTTTAAGAAATTTATTTATTTATTTATTATTTATTTATTTGTTTGCTTATTTATGTTTATTTATTTTTGGGAGACAGAATGCAAGCAGGGGAGGAGCAGAGAGAGACAGAAAGAGACAGAATCCAAAGCAGGTTCCAGGCTCTGAGCTGTCAGCACAGAGCCTGATGCGGGGCTCAAACTCACAAAGCGTGGGATTATGACCTGGGCTGAAGTCGGATGCCCAACCAAATGAACCATCCAGGCGCCCCTAAGAAATGTTTTTAAAAGGGGCGCCTGGGTGGCTCAGTCAGTTAAGCATCCTATTCTTTTTTTTTTTTTTTTTTTTCAAATAGTTTATTGTCAAATTAGTTTCCACATAACACCCAGTGCTCATCCCCACAAGTGCCCTCCTCCACGCCCATCCCCCCTCCCCACCCACATCCATCAGTCCTCAGTTTTTGTCAGCATTCAAGAGTCTCTCATGGTTTGCCTCTCTCCCTTTCCCCCACCATTTCCCCCCTTCTTCTCCCCCTTGTTCCTCCGTCAAGTTCCTCCTAATCCTCCTATACGTGCAAACATATGGTATCTGTCCTTCTCTGCCTGACTTATTTCGCTCAGCATAACACCCTCAAGGTCCATCCATGTTGCTACACATGGCCAGATTTCATTGTTTCTCATTGCCATGTAGTATTCCATGGTATAGATAGACCACATCTTCTTGATCCATTCATCTGTTGATGGACACTTAGGCCCTTTCCATGTTTTAGCTATTGTGGAGAGTGCTGCTATGAACATTGGGGTACATGTGCACCTATGCATCAGCATTTCTGTATCCCTTGCGTAAACTCCTAGAAGTTAAGCATCCTATTCTTGGTTTCCACTTAGGTCATGATCTCTCTCTCTCTCTCTCTGCCCCTCTCCTGCTTGCTTTCTCTCTCTCAAAATAAATAAACAAACTTAAAAAAAAGAGAATGTTTTTACATTTTTTTTTATTTTTTTTAACATTTTTTATTTATTTCTAGGAGAGAGAGAGAGAGACAGCGTGAGCAGGGGAGGGTCAGAGAGAGAGGGAGTCACAGACTGAAACAGGCTCCAGGCTCTGAGCTGGCAGTCAGCACAGAGCCCGACGCGGGGCTTGAACCCACGAACCGTGAGATCATGACCCAAGCGAAAGTCGGACGCTTAACCGACTAAGCCACCCAGGCGCCCCAAGAGAATGTTTTTAAAATGTATTACTTTAATTAAATAGTTTTATTGAGGTATAGTTGACACATAACAGATTTTGTGTATTTAAAGTGTACACTTTGGTAAGCTTTAACATATGCATACATCATGAATGAAGCTCAACAATCAAGACCGTGCCCTCAAAGTTTCTTTGTGCCATTTTGCCACCGTCTTTCTTGTCCCATCCAGCACTGCACTCCCTCAGTCCTTAGGTAACTGCTCATTTCTATGCTATCACTATAAGTTAATTTGCATTTCCTAGAACTTTTTCTAAATGGAATCATATAGTATATACTCTTTTGTTCTGGCTTCTTTCATATAGCATAGTTATTTTGAGATTCATCCAGATTGTATGTGTACCAATAGTTCATTCTTTTTTTTGTAAGTAGTATTCATTGCATGGGTGAACCACAATTTGTTTATCTAATCACTTGTTGATGGACATTTGGGTTGTTTCCAGTTGGGGGCTATTAGGAATATTTGTGCTCAAGTTTGTATGGATACATAGTTTGATTTGTCTTGATTATCCAGAAAATATCTTACTAGTAAATATCTGAGTAACAGTTTCATTTCTTGAGCATCTTCTATGGTTACCAGGCTCTGTGCTAAATGGTTATTTAATCTTACAACTTGGCAAGTTTAGTATTATTGTCCTTCCTTTACAAAGGAGAAAAACAATTCAGAAAGGTCAAGGGACTGGGTCAGGTCATGCGGCTACGTCTTTCTGACTTGGAACTTGAACTCAGGACTGGTGCATTGAAGGCCATGTCTGCTCTTCTCCCTCTCCTCAAAATACATCTACTATCTCCCTTGACTTTTGAAATCTTAGACTGATTGAATCTTCAAACCACAAAGTCTTTATTTTATTTTTATTTTTAACAGGTTTTATATATTTTTAGTTTACTTATTTATTTAGAGAGATAGAAGAAGAACATGAGCAGGACAGGGGCTGAGAGAGAGGGAAAGGATCCCAAGCAGGCTCTGAGCTGTCAGCACAGAGCCTGATGTGGGGCTCGAACTCATAGACTGTGAGATCATGACCTGAGCTGCAACCAGCTGAGCCATGCAGGCACCCCAAACCACAAAGTCTTTAAAAACTACTAAAATTACTAAAAAAAATCATTAATGTAAATTTTGAAACACATAAAAGACATAAAGATTAATACAACAAATATGGTATGTAAGCCACAGTTAGTAAGAAATAAAACCTTGCCAGCACAGTTAAATCTCCCCTGTGTGCCCTTCCCAGGCCTTCTGCAGAGGCCCCCACTGTCCTGAATTTGAAACACATGGTTTGGACATCAGCATGACAGAAGAGCAGAGTGTAAACAGACTCCCCACTTCTTGGATGCAGGATCTTGGGCAAGCACGTAGCCTCTCAAAGCCTCAGGGTCCCTACCTATAAATGGAAATAGTAAAATAAAACAGGCTTCAAAGGGTCACTGTAAAGATTAAATGAATCAAACACGTAAAACAATTAGCACTGTGCCTGGCACAAAGGAGGGCTTAGTAAGTGGCAGTTAATGTTAGTCCCAGAGCCTTAGAACCACAGACTCAGTTCATAAAATGCGCAGGTTAGAAGGCAGCAGGGGGATCACTGAGCCCACTGTGTCCCCTCTCTTTCTGCACCCAGTCATCCGTGTGGGAACCTGGGAGACAAAGGCATTTTCTCTTTCAAAGTGATTTCCTGTCTAGGGAGTAAACATTTGCCTGTTTTTTGAAACGTCTAAAGTGCCTTATAAATCCAGAGGTCTGCCTGGAAACAAGTGATGAAGGCCCTGAGCAGCCAATGGAAGTGGGCTGGCCTTTCTACCTGTCCGGGGAGCCTCACCCCCCTCATCCTGCCCTGTTAAAGGCAGCTTTGCCCAAGTGGGGGTATTTCCAGCTTTGTGGTTTTCACTTCTACTTTAACTAGTGGGCGGAGTGGCCTCCTGTGGACGAATCAGATTCCTCCTCAGCCCCAACTTCAAGAGGTGAGCCACTGTTCAGGGTCCCAGACACCCAGGAGACAGCAGCGGCAGCAGCAGCAGCGGCGGCAGGAGGAGGAGGTGTGGGAAAGACTAGAAGCCGGAACCATGGAAGACCAGCGTGACCTTATCTCCAACCATGAGCAGCTGCCCATGCTGGGCCAGCGCCCGGGAGCCCCGGAGAGGTACGTGTGAGCTACGGGGGAGAGCACACAAACCCTGGACCACACAGATGTGCCCAGGTGCTGCGGGAAGAGCACTAGACTGGGAGCCACAGGACAGATGGATTCAGGCCCTGACTCTGGGTGATTTTGAGCAAGACTCTGGCCTGCTTGGGTCTTCTGTTCTCCCTCCTGTAAAATGAGGGGGCTTCTCGAGGGCAGGAGTTTTTTATTTCTTTGCATGGTACACTTCTGTTCTGAAAATCAGGAGAGAGCCCCGGATTCTTTCCCTAGAGTTTCACACAGTATCACGGCTTCACATACCTCCTACAGCTGGACCGTGAATCCTAGGTTAGAAACTTTAGACCAGATCTGGAAAATGCTATGGATCCTAGATGGAGACACAGAGTTTCTCAAAGCGGATGGTAGCAACATCCCGTCACAGAGGGGTTTGTCCCTGATTGGCCTGGATCCATGTAGGAGTTTGTATCAGGGAGGTGTAGTCACAGGTGTTCATTGAGAAGACGGATGGGTCCGCCATTACGAGAGGGATGGAAAGACCGCGGCAGGGGTCAGGGAGAGGCAAGGGGTGACTCTGGCTACATTTGTAGAAGGGACTGAAGGTTGATGTGGGCATGCCCTGCCGGTGTCCCTCTCCCTTGTAGCAAGGGGCCAGCACAGCCATCCAGGGGACACGGGGACCCCTTTCCCAGTCCCAGGATTCTCTCTCATCCAGGTGTCTCCTGAAAAAAAGCAGGATTAGAATGTAGTTACCTTGTTCAGATTCTGTGTCTACCCCTGTCCCTCTCTGCCCCTCCCCTGCTCTCTCTCTGCCTCTCAAAAATAAACATTAAAAGGGCGCCTGGGTGGCTTAGTCGGTTAAGCGTCCGACTTTCGCTTGGGTCATGATCTCACGGTTCGTGGGTTCAAGCCCCGCGTAGGGCTCTGTGCTGGCTGCCAGCTCAGAGCCTGGAGCCTGTTTCAGTCTGTGACTCCCTCTCTCTCTGACCCTCCCCTGCTCACGCTGTCTCTCTCTCTCTCTCCTAGAAATAAATAAAAAATGTTAAAAAAAATAAAAAAAAAACCATTAAAAAAAAAAAAAAAGAATGCAGTTACTCTGTGTCCCCATAGTCCCCAATCTTCAAAAAGTAATTTGCACATTGGGGCTCCTGGCTGGCTCAGACAGTAGAGCATGTGACTCTTAATCTCAAAGTTGTGAGTTTGAACCCCACATTGGGTGTAGAGATGACTTAAAAATAGAATCTTAAAAAAAAAAGGTAATTTGCAAATTATAGGGAGTTAGGGCTGTGATGTCAGCTGTTACCAGGCAGAAAGGGGTTTGGGAGAGACGCTCAGAGATGTCATGAGGAACTGCATTCTGGGAGATAGGTAACAAATCACTGCTTCTCTCTGGGTCTCAGTAATAATAAACTAAACTAAACTAATAAAATAAAAACAATGATGATACTAGTCATGATTAATAGTTCCCTTTCACTGTCTACCTGTCACTAGTCCTCAGCTACTGTTAATTACTATGATTATTATATGCTAAACCCAATCCTAATTCTTACAGTAACCCTATGAGTTGGGTACTTTTCTCATCCCTATTTTTATTTTTATTAACAATTTTTAAATTATTAATTAAAATTATTAATTTTATTATTAATAATTATAATAATTATTATTAAGTAGGCTTCACACCCAGCACAGAGCCCAGTGCAGGACTTGAACTCACATCCCTGAGATCAACATCTAAGTTGAGATCAAGAGTCAGATTCTTAACCAACTGAGCCACCCAGGCTCAGTTTTTTTTTACATAAAATTGAGGCTTTGTTAGTTACCAGCTTACCTAAGTTGTCACAGCTAGTGAGTGTTGGAGTCAGAATTTGAACCCAGCGCTAGCCTGATTTCAAAGTGTGATCTCACTCTACCATCTGGCCCCCATCTGGAGGCATGGTTTGCAGGGAGGGGAGGTGGAGGTCCTCTGAGCTCAGGCCACCCAGCGAGTTGCAGACCCAGCATGGGCTCAGTGTACTGAGAGGGTAGCCCCTCCTCAAATCTTTGTCTCGTTTTCCTTTTAGTTTAGTTACCACTTCTAAAACTGACCGTGCCCAGTGTGCTCAGTCCATTCCAGCCGGGAGCTGATTTCAGACACTTTTGTGAACACTTCTGCCTCGCAACATCTGTATCATGATTCCTGCTGGTTCTGGTTGGCTCCTGACTTCAGCCAATTACTATTGTTGATTCAAGAAGGAGGTAGTGGAAAGGAGGAAATGAAGATAGAGGTGACTAGAGTTGGCAGTTATTCAGAACCAGGGGACCGCATTCAAGATGCAAAAAGAGGAAGGAAACCAGATGCTAAGTTTAACTAGTAGCTTCTGAGAAAGGATTCAGTGCTGTGTGCCCAGGTATGGCGCCAGGAGCTTTACCCTTAGGATCTTATTTTCTGTAACAACCTCTTGAGTAGCTCAGGTTACTCACTCAGAGGAGTTAAGTGACTTACCCCTGGCCCCTGAGCTAAGGGGGTGAAACTAAGGTTCAGTTTCTCCTAAGACTGGAATTAGATGGGGTGTGGGGTTGCGGAAGGGGTGAGCATGAGCCTGTAGATAAGGAGCTGGAGAGCGTGAGCCTAGACAGGCCCCTGGCTTGGGTGGACTTTTCACAACCTTTAGAGGACGCCCCTCTTCCTTGGGAAGGCCTAGAAGTGGGATTTGTTTTCATTTTCCCCTCCTGTCTAGTCTCCTCTTCCCCATGCAGGGTGTTTGCTTTGTCCTAACAGAACGACAATCTTTTGGGCTGGACCTTGGCCCAGAAAATGCAGAGGACTGGCAAGCAGAGAGCCAATGAGAATGAGCTGTGTTTGTGATGTCATGAGTTACTATGCAGGAGGGTCTCCTGGAGTTTCCTAAAGTGTCCCTGTTGGTTCCTGGAGTAAGCAGAATGCAGTCTCCTCCTGGAAGTTTCCACTGGGGTTCTAGTCGTCAGTCCCAGCTCTGGGGCCAGGTGGGAGAAAACTGTCCGGGAACTCTCAGTGCCTGGCACAGGACCCTTACATTCCCCAAACTGTGCCACGTTCACGTGCCCCGCCAAACTCTATCCAAGGCCGACAGCTCCAAAGGCTGTCTCAGATATGGCTACTCCTCCCTGTTGGGCCAACAAGTTTAGGGAATGTGAGACTCTCTCCCAGTCATATAGGCTCAGGCACCACACTCCCGCTGAGGTCCCCCCTGGGGGGGTATCATCATTTGAAATATGTCAGTCAGATTGCTTCAAAGAAGAAAACCACCAGATCCTAGAATTGCTGAGGTGAGAGGCATCCACGCGACAGGCCCAAAGAATGGCAGAGATTTGCTCAAAGACACTGAGAGTCTGGGGCAGAGGATGTGCCCCCAGAGTGGGTGGTCCCCGGCCCCGTTCTAGTCTGACACCGTCCAGTGCCCCTAACCTACCCCTGAAATGTCAAGGCCTCACTTCTCATTTTTCGGTGGGCCACTTGCTCTGCTGTCCGGGTCCCACTTCCTTCCTTTTTCTCTGACTTCACTGCAGGGGTTGAGTAGGTAGGGAATGAAAACCTCCTCCCCCTCGAGGGCAGTGCTGATCCTCAGGGAACCCCCTGACAGAAAGAACAAGGTACTTGTCACTGGCTCTTCCCCACTCATCTTGCCCCAGGTGCAGGGGGCAGATCTGGGCGTTCTGTGTAGGAGGATCGGAGGGACAGCAATGGTTGGAACTACGGGGTTCGGAGAATGTCTTCAAGCTGCATGTGCACAGGCACTTGTTTGTGCTTAAAGTGTGTGTGTGTGTGTGTGTGTGTGTTGGGGTAGCTGAGGGGGTAGAGGGGTTGATGGAAATGGGGCCTCCCCCCACCCTGTCAGTCCTTGGGGCAGCCACTGCTGTGGACTCTCCTCTGACCTGTCTCCATCCCCCCAACAGCAAATGCAGCCGAGGAGCCCTCTACACAGGCTTTTCTGTCCTGGTGGCTCTGCTCCTGGCTGGCCAGGCCACCACTGCCTACTTCCTGTACCAGCAGCAGGGCCGGCTGGACAAGCTGACGGTCACCGCACAGAACCTGCAGCTGGAGAACATGCGCATGAAGCTCCCCAAGGGTGTGTGCCCCACCTCCACCCTGACGCCCCCACCCGCGTCCCTTCACCCCGGGGCCCACCTCCTTCTCCCTGTGGGGGGGTAGCCCAGCCCCTTCTCACTGGGGTTTGAGACCTTGGCCCCCCATCTGAGTACTCTCTTCCCTGGCCACTGGGGCCACACTCAGACTGTCTGTACCTCCTGTCCCACAGCTACCAAGCCCCTGAACAAGATGCGGGTAGCCTCCCCCATGCTGATGCAGGTGATGCCCATGCGAGGCCTGCTCCAGGGGGTAAGGACAACCTCAGGGCGGTGGAAGGGGGAGGCGTTATCTAGCCCAGATGGAGGGCAGGCGGCAAGGGACAAGGGAGGACTGGTGAGCCAGGAAGAGCAGGGCTGGGGGAGTGGACCGCGGTGAGGGGCGGGGGGCGGGGGGAGGGCAGGGCCCACCTTAAGAAGAAGAGGCCTCCCAGGTGTGGAGGAGGAAAGCGCCTCTGGGGGCCGTCCCTGGGACGCTTACAAGGCGCTTCTTGTTTCCCAGAGCACCTCACCGTCCCCTCCTTTCCCAAAGCCCTGATGTCCTAGATGGGTAATGTTTTTGTTCATAAAACGATCTGTTGTCCCCAAAGCTGTGGGCAGGGAAGTTTATGCAGATTTGACCAATAAGGAACCTTGATGCAGATAAAGTGACCTGTTTGAGCTCCCGTGCTTGGAGGTGGCAGACATGGGCCTGTTCCTGTTGAACACCTGGGCCTCGGGACCCTCACCCAGACTCTGGCTGCTGGCTCTCGTTTGTGGGCCTCCTCCTTTGTGGGCCAGTGCCGGTAACCCCCTTTTCTTTTCTTCCACAGCCCATGCAGAATGCCACCAGGTATGGCAACATGACACAGGACCACGTGATGCACCTGCTCCTGGTGAGTGGGACCCAGCCAGTGGCCCTGCCTGCCCACCCACGTTTCCCCAAAGGGAGTCTGCTCGAAGGCCTGGGCCATTCTGGGCTCACAGGAGACGTCACTAGGGGCTCACCAGATTAGCGAAAGAATGCCAGTGCGGCCCTTAAATGTCATACATAGTCTAGCCCTGCCAGCTCCTGTTTTGAGTGGTAGAGAGACTCTGAGGCCCAAAGCCCAGAAGGACTTGCTCAAGATGCCCATTTTTTCCTCCCCAAATTTCTTCTGCATGTCTCCTCTGTCCCAGGCACTGCAAGGCTCTGGGCTCACATTGGGAAACACTCAGACTTGCTTCTAATCCTATGGGAGTCCCAGGCTAGTGCGGGAGACAGACAAGTGACCAGGTGATGAGCAGGGAGATTTCTAAGGAAAGAGGCAGAGGACTCAACTGAGTGATGGCAGGGGAAGGGGTGTGGAGGAGGGGAGCCCTGCAAGAGGAAGAGTCTGCGAGGAGTGGAAGACTGGGGGTTAGTGGTGGAACTGGGCCTGGAGCCTGGGTCTCTGTACTCCCAGCCTGGGGATCACGTAGCTGTGCCGCCGGAGGACCCTTGCTGCCTCCCCTCCCCACTGGCTCCATTACGGCGAGGGTCCAGGCGAACATGGGCTGCACATTTCACCTTGCCTGCCAGGGAGCACTTTTCAAATCTTCCTTCCTGCTTACTACGCTGCAGGAGGCCGACCCTCTGAAGGTGTACCCACAGCTGAAGGAGAGCTTCCCAGAGAACCTGAAACACCTTAAGACCACCATGGGAACCCTGGATTGGAAGGTCAGCAGGGTTCCCCGCACTGCGTCCCTCATTCCTGACCTCTAGGACAGGGCTGGGAAAAGGCGCTGTAAGGGGTGGTCCGGGGAAGCCATCCCCAGGGAGCCGACACCAACAAAGCCACAACCATGAAGAGGGCTGGAGGTGAGGAAGCACCTAGACCGAACTCCGTGGGTCCGGGCTGCAGCTGGACTCTGGGGTGTTGAGTCCCTGTCAGACCCTCCATGTCTTTCCCAAGGGGCAAAGCAGGTAAGGTCGGAAGGGGCTGTTGAGCCTGACCCCTCACCTCATCCCATTAGGTCTTTGAGAGCTGGATGTACCATTGGCTCTTGTTTGAAATGAGCAAGGGCCCGCTGGAGAAGAACCACGCTGATGCTCCGAAAGGTATGGGGCGCGGGGGCCTTGGGCTGCCAGGGCTTCTGAGAGCTCCCTCAGGGCCCTCCCTGCTTCAGGCACCGGGACTCCCCAGCTCTCATTCCTGTCTCTCCTGCCTGTTCCTTCCGGGCTGGCTGCTCCCCCCACCCCCTGCACCATCCTGCCTGAGGGCCCACAGGGCAGAGGCCTCCTTTTAGGGGATGATCTCCCTTGTGGAGGACGGTGTCGGCCTGGAGCAAAACCACCCAACATTCCAAGTGTCCTCACAACGACCTCCTCCTCCTCGCAGCCCTGCACAGGTGTCTGAGGGGGCTGGGCGGGCTCAGGCCCCACTTTCAGAAGGACCTCCTTATGCTCACACAGCCAGCAGGGGCCAGACAAGAGGGCCTTGGGGTTTTTCCATCTTGTGGACAACGCATGGCAGGATTTTCAGCCCTAAAGCATCAGAGAGAGCCAGGTCTCCATCCTGGCATTAGTATGCCAGGCGGCTTAGGGCAAGGGTCTTCCTTCTGGGCTTTGGTGCTGGAAGTGGAAGATCAGTGGCCCATTCCCACCCCAGGCCCCCTGTTTTCCCTCATAGGTTCATAGAAGGCCCCTTCAGTGCCATCTTGACCGACTCCCAGCTGATGTCTGAATCCCTCCACATCCTCAGCAAAGCCCCAGTTTGTACTTGGAAAACCCCAGTAACAGAAGTTCAGACTTCCCAAGATGCCTATTGCTTTCTCCTAGAAATAAGAATCACAAGTGCAATTCCAAACTTTAAAAGGCCTTGAGTATCAGAAGAAGGTTCTGGGATAAATTAGCAACTTGGCCATTCACTTCCTCTTTGATCTCAGACTTTGTTGGTCCATGCCTTAGTTTCCCCATCTGTGCAATGGGTAGAGTGAGCACAGCCACTCAGGCAGAAGGCATTAGGCCCACAGCAGTGGCACGTGGATCTCTCGTTCTGCTGAGACCCTGGCCCAGGGCCTGCTCACTCACTGTGTCTTCACCATGCCTGTCGCTTCAGTACTGACGAAATGCCAGGAAGAGGTCAGCCGCATTCCCGCCGTCCACCCTGGCATGTTCAGGCCCCAGTGCGACGAGAACGGCAACTATAAGCCGCTCCAGTGCTATGGGAGCACCGGCTACTGCTGGTGCGTCTTCCCCAACGGCACCGAGGTCCCCTACACCAGGAGCCGTGGGCACCGTAACTGCAGCGGTAAGAGCGCCTGCCCGCCTGGCCAGGGAGCGTCAGAGGAGCAGGAAGGTCCAGGAAGGCCCGCCTGGCGCACACGCGGCCAGGACGCTAGAGCTCCGGGGGGCAGCCACTCCTTTACCCATGCATCTCTTCTCTCCTTACACCCACTCATCTGCTTACTCATCTGTCCCTCTGTCCTTGACCTGTGATGCTCACGCAGCCCTGCACCACCGGTGCATCCACGAGTCCTACAGGCCCGCCTGCCCTGTGTCATCATCCCCTTCCTTGGCCTTCCCCGACCACACCTGGTTGCTGCTGTCCGACAAGAGCCCCTCCCTCTGGCACCGGCCCCACCGCTCACAGATCCCTGGCAGGGCTGGGAAGAATGACCCCGGCCCCTCGCCAGTGGGTGTGGGAGGCTGGACTGCCAAGTGACAGATGGGCTTGCTACTCCTTTGCAGAGCCACTGGACACTGAAGACCTGTCATCTGGGCTGGGGATGACCAAGCCGGACCTGGGCCCAGGTGAGGGCTCTGCAGGGGCCACCCAGTCCCCAGCAACTTCTCCCCAGAGGGGCCGAAACCCTCACGGATGAGTGGCCAGTGCAGAGTGGCCCTGGGTCGTCCTCCAGCCTCCCTGGGGACATCCATCTCATACATGAGAACCACCTCTAGAGGCTGTGGGGTGGGAAGTCCTCAACTGCTCTGAGATCCAAGGGGGCGGGAAGGGTCAGGGACAACAGGGGACCCCAACCCTAACTGGCTGCTTCTCCTCTCCACAGTGGCCGTGTGAACAGCAGACGCCGGCACGCAGCCAGCCCCGCATGCCCACTGACTCCTTGTCCTACTCTCCATCGGCCCTAGCCCGCCTTTTCCCTTACACCTCACTCCCCCGCCCCCACCTCCCGCTCTGCGCCTCCCTCCACGACGCCCTGGCACCTGGCTCACCACCGTCCCTGGCCACGCGGGGGAATGCGAGGCCCCAGGAGGTGGACCGAGAGCCAGGCTGACCCCCATCTCAGCCTCCAACACGGAGCCCCAAGATCCAGGCCCGTGGACGAAGTGGAAAGGTACAGGGAGGTAGCACGCTGCTCCCCCACACCCTTCTCTTCCGGCCTTGGCTTTGTAGCCTGTTTAGGGGGGACGGGCCCCTCTAGCAACACTCACCCAGGAAGAACCAGCCCCTCCAACAGCCCCACCCCACTTTCTGCCCACCCCCCAGTTCCCTCTGTGCAGCCAAGCTTATCCTCAACCCCCAGGGCCGCAGCTCTGAGAATAAAACGTAGTGAGTAGAACACTTCTGGTTCCTGACTGTCGTTGGCATGTAGTTTATTTATCCCGAGGAGGTAACGGAGACCTCGAATCCAGTAGTGGGGGTGGGAGGGTGCGGCGCACGGAGCCCCACCAGAGGCCCGCGGGCCAGGCTGGGCTGTGGGGATGCACTATTTGGATACAGACATACTTAGGTCTCCGTGTCAATGCACGGAAATACTCTGCTTTCAAGAAGAAACAGGCTCTCGCCCGTAATCTCTAAGCACAAGCTCCTCTTGCTCCAGCTTCCACTTTCCCAGATCCCTGTTCTCACTTCTGTGCTAAGAACAGTACGAGCGTGAGGAGAGGCGGCAACAACACAGGCTCCAGTGTTGGGCCTGCCAGCGAGTGGGGGCTGTGGAGACCCAGGGGCTCACCCCTACCAAAGCCATACCTCTTCTCCAGACCAAACACACTTGGGCGGGGAGAGAGGCCGACATGGGGCAGGGCCCCAAGGTAAGGGTGCAGTCGGATGCCAGCCTGGGCTTTCAAGACCTCCGGCCCAGCACTCCGTCTCCGCACGGCCTCTTACTGTCGCTAGCAGAAGGCTCAAAGCCTTGGGGAGAGACCGCCATGACCTCCGCTGCTCTACACGCTCTGGGGAGGCGCACCGCTGCCCTCACCAAGTCCTACGGAGACCACCCCGCCACCTCTGTGACCCGGACACGAGGGCACCTCGGTCCTAACTGGGTTTCCTGCTCCTACCCTGCCTGCGGTACCTCGAGAGGACCCGCCTCTGGCTCAAACCCTAACTTCCCCAGGTGCCGGGAAAGTACCCCCCTTCCATCCCGCGCCTCTGGTGCCGGCCGGGCCCGGCCCAGCAAAGCGGCCACGATGTCGCCGCCCCCACTAGCGGGACGCCCTTTATTCCGGGAGGCTTTCCCCACCGATCCAGTACCTGCGGGGCACCTCGCAGGTTCCTCGGCAACCTGTGTGTCCCACTCGCCACCGCGTCCCAGAGCCTCGAGGTGCACAGAACAAATCCTGAGTGGTGGTTTGTTCACCTCCGGGCGTCGGCCAGACTTCCCCTTCCAAGAATAAGTCAGACGCAAATATTTGTCCCCAAGGCACTAGGAACTCCCGCCTTTCCTTCGAGCCTTTTATTTTGAGTTGTTACAAAACCCCACAAACAAAACGGGAAAAACGGATAGAGGAGGACAAAGCCTCAGCATCAGCCAGAGACCGGGATGGAGGGAGCTGTAGGCCGGGCCTCGCTAGGTCTGCAGGGCAAAGAGGTGGGAAGTCCCGAGGCCCCTGGGCGTGTTGGGTTTGAAGGGGGAGGGGCAGGTCATTTAAAAAAATATATATATATACTGTACACATCTATATGAAGCGTTCTGTGTCAGGACAGAAGTCAGACGTGGCATCAGTGAGTGGAGGTCACTGGGTCGCGATGCATTTCCTCCTCTTCCTCCTCTGACCAGCCTCTCTGCAGGGCTCCCTAGCTCGGCCAGCACGGACACTGCGGCTGGCTGTCTTCTCCTGGGGAGGGAGGGAAGTTTAAAGATTCAATACTGGCCCACGGTGGGCAGGGGCATGGGGCGGGTCACCACCTGGCTAAGAACCCCCTGGGTGAAGGAAACACATCTGGATGCAAGATTTCTGACCGTTTTCCCCAAAGAGAAGAAAATGAAATCTAAGCCCGGTATCTCTGGATACCATAGGAAAGAGCACTAACCACAGTGGGTGCTCGGGAGCACTGCCCACGTCCCAGGAACTGGGCCGAGTGCCTTAGTGCTCCACTTAACCCTCGCCACCGCCCAGGCAGGTGCTGGGTCACCCCAGTTTCCAGGAGGCTGCTGGCTGCGGGGGCCGATGGGGACACTCAAACCCTTCTACCAGCGCCCCGAGAGCACAGATCCACTGGAACGGCTTGTCCTGAGGAAGCCGTCTTCCTCTCCACCAGACAACGCCCTCAAGGTTCAAAATCAAAAGGAAAAGGAACTGGGCAGTGGTGGGGAGAGCCCAAGCGGTATGGGGCCTCGAGTCTCATCGTCATATACAAAGAGGCACCGTCCCAGTGCCCGCCGTGGTGGTCACTGCCATTACTGTTCTGGACCCTCGTGATTCTGCAGCTCTTGACTTCTGGCATCACCTCACTGGTCCCACTGACCTTGAGGGACAGAACCATGTTCTCCAGCCAGATGGCCTGCCCGGCCCCCTGGGACCTCGCCAGATGCTAGAGCTGCCCACCGGGGAGGGGAGGGGAGGTCACCAGGGATCCCTGGGCCAGCAGGCGTACCTGTCTTCCTGTGCCCCTCAGACAGTCTGCTCCGCGGTCTTCTTCTGTGAGGGAGAGAAGGAGGGCAAGCATGTACCTGAAGCATCTTCCCCCACCACGCTGCCTCCACCAAGAGTGATGGGATGGTTCCCTCCTGAGAATTTGTGCCTCCCCCAGAACAGACAGGGGGATCCCCAAGGGCAGGGATGGCGCCACGTTCGCCCAGGAGGGAGCCCAGGTCTCTGAGTAACAGATGCTCGGCTTTTCTGAACACAGCTGAAGCCCCGCTGGCTGCGGTGAGAACCGCACCCACACAAGGTGTGGAATGCTCCCACCCTCCCCGCTTCAGGTGATTGGCCTTTGCAACCCGTACTTCTGCGGTGGGGATACCCTGCGAGCTGGGGTGCACACAACCCAGGGAGGCTCTCCTCTCACCTCAGCCCACCTGGCTGGCCTCCAGCCTCCTGGGGGCTCTCCTTTCCTCACCCATCCCAAGACCATGCTTCTACCTCACAGACATGACGGGGTCACCCCCGTGGCCTCTACACACATGGACCTTGTCCCTCCTCCGGTGGCACCTGCCTTCTCCTGGTCTCCAGTGTGTCACAGCTTGCAAGCCCCCAACCTCTGGACCCCAACCAAGTCCAGTTCACCCCACCCACACTCTGACATGCACCCTGGGGACTGGGTCTGGACCCTTCCTCTGGCCAGAGACCCCTCAGAACTCACATTACCTTTTTCTTCTTTTTCTTCTGGAATGGTGAGTCAGGGTCTTTGGCTGAGGCTTTTTTTGCTTTCTTCTTCTTTTCCTTTTTTTCCTTGTCTTTTTTTTCTAAGGGAAGAAAGTAAACCTCTCAGGGAACAGAAGCGTGGGGCTCAGTGTGCAGAGGGCAGGCCTCCAGGATGCTAGACTCTCCCCTCCCGACGCCAAGTCCCGGCTCTCCGCACGCTCTGGGGAACCATCCCAACAAGCCCACAGGCCCCTGGGACCACGGCCCTGGCCTGAGTGCCCGTGGGGCCTGCCTCAGGATTTCTGCACCCCTCCAGACCCCCTTGGACTACTTTGCTTTAACTCAAAGTGTGTACACATTTATTTTAAAAAGTTATTTTCTCCTGTAAAAGGCATGTTGCTCCCCCCACCCCCACCCCCCGGCTGCAGTCCACCACTTACTCTTATCGGATTTCTTCTTCTCTTTCTTGCTCTTTGGGTTGCCCTGGTCTCCACCCTCAACCTTCAGTGTCCCTGGCTCCCCTTCTGGCTTCTCCTTTGCCCCTTGGGAGCCAGAAGACTCTTTCTCCTTCTTCTCCTTGATGTCGCCACTTGCCCCGGCTCTCTTGGATTTCCCCTTAGGAGTCCTGGAGGCCTTTTCTGGTGAGACCACACCCTCTCCGCCTCCCCCAGCCGCCGGTTGCTTCTTCTTCTTGCTCCCGGGGGCTCTGACGGCCGGCTGGTCCCCCGACAGCTTCCGCTTGCGGGCCCCCCGGGCCTTCCTGCTGCTCTCCTTGGCGGCATCCGCGGCCTTCTTCCTTTCCTGCTCCAGCAGCTCCGTCAGGACCTTGGCCACAGAGGCCTGGAGCTGGGCCTCGTTCAGGGGCCAGGGCTCGTTCAGGAGGCGCCGGCTGATGTCACTCTGCAGCGCCAGCGTGGAGGCTTGGGGGCTCCCAGCCGCCTTCTTGGGCTTTCGGGGCTTCTGAGGAGTGCCACTAGCCTCTCTTCTGCCTGTGGAGACAGGACACGGGGTCACAGGTCAGGGAGAGTCAGCAAACACACTCACTGTGTAAGAGGCCAAGGGTCTAGGGACACGATCGACCTCCCCAGACACGGTACAGACAGGGAACGGGCACTCCAGTGATCCCTTTGCCCCATCAGGCTCACACCTTTCCAGCAGCTTCTAACTTAGCTCTTTTCTTTACTTTTTTACTTTTTAAAACTTAGCTCTTTTGTCTCCTCACACCAAAAACTCGAGTCTGGGGTTGGGGGTGGGAAAAGACTCCAGGATGTTAAAGAAAGGGCCTGAATCCATCAACAAAATGAAAGGTCAGACAGGAGGGAGACGGTAGTGTCCAGTTGGAAGCAGAGCTGGGAGGCAGGCCTGACTGCCGCCGGCTGGCTGTGGGACCATGCTCCTTGCAGGGTCTCAGTCTCCCAGTTTGTAATGTAAGAGCTCAGATGAACAACGAGGGTCCTATTCTAAGAGCCTCGCGACAAAGCTGGTCAGGGGACAAGGCAGCTTGGGGGGTGACGGGCATGTTGTATATACACGTGGTGGCTGACTAAGCAGGTTTGCTGCCTACCAGAGTGATTTCTGGTACAGCCTTTGTTTAGAATTTTCCACGCCTCTGCTCTCCTTTGGTAATTGTGTGCTGACTACACGTGTTAAAAAAACCTTCCACAGCCCCCTCTGCAATGTCTCCCTGTCGCACCCGCCTCTCACAGAGAACGCTGGGGAAGAAAGTGAGCAGGGACCCCTCTGCTGACCCGGCACCGGTGAGCTGCAGCTAAGGCCAAAGATGGGGTGCGCGTGGGGGCCGACACCGCCGGTGTCCCAGGGCTGCCCGCAACTGCTCAGGTGGTTCGGCAGGTCTCCACTCCGTTCTAGGCCTCACCGGCACAAGACCACCTCCATGCTGGGCTCTGGAAGGTGCCCAGTGGCCCGGCCAGGCTCCATATCATGGGGCTGGGGGCTGTTCCCTGTACGTGCACCGGGACGCCCTGGGTGCAAGATCTGGAGCGGCTCTGGCCCCAGGGCTGTGGTAGGGGGGTGGGGGGGTGGGGGGACGGAGACAGCAGGGGGTCCCAGGGCAGAGGGAGGAGGAGGAAGCTGAGGAGGGCCAAGTTTTTGCTGGCAGCTTCCTCCTCCTCCAGAAGCCCACTTCGTTGCTTCCTAACACCCTAGAACACCAGAGCTGGGGACGGGATCCCTAGACTGTCCCAGGAGTGCCCGTGTGAGATACTGGTCCCTTACCACCGGCAAGTCAGGACCGGCTGATGCCCCTGGCCGGTTGACCGCAGCACTCTGGGCTGCCCCCATGCCATGTGACTATCTGCTGTGCACGCTGTGCCCGGACACTGATGAGATGGACCCACCCTGCCCTGTGCCGTGAAGACACAGATGCCTAGGGTGGCAGGGTCTTGCCGGAGGCTTTACAACACGGTCCGTCACTGGGGGTCTCTGCCACGTGCTCACAACGTCCCCAAATGTGGCTCCTGCCTTTTGTCTGAGCTCCCCGGAGTCCCCACACCCCACAGCATGAGTCCATTTGTCAACAGGCACAGCGAGGAAGAGCCAAGGCAGCTCAAAGTCACCCACAGGCATCCCAACAGGCCAGATAACCTGGCTTCCAGGCTGTCTCAGACCCTAGGGGCCGGACACCTGGGCGCTGGGACATCGGACCTTGCTTGGAAAGGCCCTGGTGACACACACAACTGTACCGGTGGGACGATTCCCGAGGGAGGGAAAGAAGGGGTCCCTGTGTCTTTCCTGTGGCCCTTGACTCACTTGTTTTAGGGGACATGGTGCCTGCTGCACGTTGGGGCTCCACTTCCTGCTTGCCGTCTGGGGCATCTTTGGTGGCGGGAGTAGAAGAAGCCGAGGGGTCGAGTTCTGGCCTGGGAGTAGCCTTTGAAGCCTGGGAATTGGCCAGAGGTGGCCCAGGGGTCACATAACCTGAGAGGAGAGACTGAAGAAACCCACCGTGAACGGGGCTGGAACACAGGCCCTCCTGGCTTCGGGAGGGCAGGGCCTGCTGGGAGCCCCTGAGCGGGGAGCCCCCAAGCACAGGCCGCCCTGTCTGCGGGCACATCAACCTTTTGTTCGGACCTCCTGCACTATTTTAATTAGTACACGTTTTTGTCAGGCACGTTTAAGAAGACACCTTCTTACAGCTAAGGCGCATGGAAAATCACTAGCGCTTGCTTGCTGCTTACAGAAGATAACCTTAAAGAAATCCCATCTGTTACAAACTAGCTTTCTTTCCGGGACTCATCTAAAATCAAGGCAAGCCCTTTTTACAGCCTCTGAGTCCACTATTCATGGCCTTAGGCTGAAAAGGAGCCTCAGGGGAGGAGACAGCCCAGCCTCGGGGATACCAGGCCCTGTGGTGGGGATGGCTTCAGCCTAACAGGCATCAGGGGGCCTCAAGCCCCCACCCTGAGGCCCCCGAAGGGCCAGCCCTCTCCCTGGCAGTTACCTGCGAGGGTGCCACCACCTCGTCTTCACTGGACTCTGCCGTGGTCTCCTCCACCAAGGTCTCCGCTGCGGAGGGGGCTGGACCTACGGGAGGAGCACAGGCACCCTGTCGGGCCGGCTGCGTGGTGGGGCCGAGCCCTCCGGGAGGCCCTGGGAAGGCCTCAGCTTCCCGCACATCCCCCCGCTGCCACCCCCAAGGCTTTATTCGCTCCTGTGACTCCCTTCCATGGGCAACTGCTGTTCGCAGCCTTCTAAGCAAGACATGTGAATGCCAGAACTTTTTGCTCTAATTCCCGAGGCCCTACTTATGCCTCTCTGCTTTTCTGGGGGTGAAGAAGAGGGCATAACCCTGGATTTTGGGGGGATCAGTTACAAGTCTGTACCAAAAAGCTGGGAGTGGTCAAACAGCGGAGTCTGCTATCACACGGACCAACCTCCACATGAGGTTGTTCAGGTGGGGAAACAGGCCCAGCATGGGATGACTGGGTCTAGGCTGCAGAACAAGGTTCAGAGTACAGGCCTGCACCCGGGGCTCCAGCAGGCCATCACTCCCCTCTCCGGGCCCACCTCGCCTTCTCCTCCAGGGACCCTCACCCAGGCTGTGGGCCGCGGGGACCATCTGGGGCCCGGCGGCATCCTCCTCACTCCCTGAAGAGCTGCCGCTGCTGTCCTCACTGTCGTTGGAAGTCTCAGAGGCCTTGGCTCTGCGGTGTCCTGCAGGAGTGGCCGTGGCCGTCTGGGCTGCAGGAACCTCAGGTTTTTGGAGCTTGTTGGTCACCTTGGCTGGCGCGGGGGCTCTCTGGGGACTCAGCACAGGGAGTGTTCCCAGAGCACCATCAACCTGATTTGGTGAACAAGGAGAGTGGAAGGAAAAATGGAGGGAAATAAGTGCTGGTGCCTCTTAGACACTCAGCGCCCCCCGGACAAGGCGGCTGTTAGCTGCTCTGCACCCAGGCCTCAGCCCCACCACGAACGCTCAGACCAGGCTCAGAGACTGGGAGGCATGGAGAGGAGGGAGACGAGTATGCATGCTGCAGTCACAGAGCAGGTAGATGCTGGCCCTGGGACTTAGGCCCCGATCTGGGCCCACCCTTCTATGCTCTGTAATCGTTCATCACTGTCTTCTCCAGGGTGGGGCCTGGCCCCACCCCCACCCGGCTCCCCAGCTCACCCCACTTGAAGACAGGGTCCTGGCAGCAGGAGGCTGGGCCTCACTGGCTTTCTGGGCAAGGACCTTCAGGGCAGCCTGGGTCAGCGGGAGGTGAGCAGGGTTCCTCTTTGTCACCTGTGGACAGCCACAGGCAGCCCTGAGACTCCCAAGTTCTCAGGATGCCATCTATGCCATGCCCTGGTCAGATACTGGCTGGCACAGGAGGGGACCCATATCTGTACAAGGAGCCATGGGACTGGAGTGGGGGACTGAGGGACAGTCAAAGGGGCAATGCCACCATGTGGGCAGCAAATGGGGCCAGGTTTCAGGTTATAAGCTAATCATATTGTTCTCAGAGGACCCAAAGGCTTTTAGCCCAGGAGGCGGAAGGAGTGGGGCCCTACCCCAGGCCCCCCAACCCAACCTGAAGCCTTCACAAGGGACAAGCTTCTAGCTGGGTGGCAGCAACAGCCTCCTCAGAGGTCTCCTGGTGCCTGTCACTCCTGCTTCCCACATCTGCCAGCAGTCATAGAGAGAGAACCGGAAGGCTAGGCAGGGCACCCCCCGAAAGCCCTCAGGTCCCCCTCTGCTGCCGTGTGGCCTCCACCATGGCCTGCCCAGCCTGGCCTCTCTCACCCCCAAGCGCTTCCCTGGCCAGAGACCTCCCTGGCTTGCCTGTTCCTCTGGCTCCATGTCACCCCCTGGGGGAGGCCAGTCCTGCCGATCCTTCCTCAAGCAGCCCATCCCGTTAGTCTCTGGTTTGCGCTCCCCTCTGAGCCCCCACCAGTGGGTGAGTACTGTACTTTCTGGCTTCCTTGTTCAATGGCCTGTGAGGTAGGGGACTCTCGCTCTCTGTCTTTCTGCTGCATCTCAGTGCCTGGCACCCCCTGCTGGCCGGCTGGCAGAACGGATACAGGCTGCTGGGTGCGGTGACCACAGCCCAGCCACCCAGCCAGCACCCATGCTCCCTCCTCCCTCTCAGAAGAAAGGGGTGAGGCACAATGAGACAGAAAAACTAGGGGCAATGGACTAGGAGCGAGGAGACCTGGGTTCGGGCTCTGTGCAATCCTGGACATATGTCAACGGTCTCGCTGAAGGGCAGCGCTCAGCTCTGTTGTTAGAACAGTGAGCCATTAGCTGTATTCTGCTCAGGCTTTTATGTTTAGGCAAAGACCCGACAGAAACACCCTGAAAACGGTGAAGGATGGGAGGTCACTATTCTCTATGCTACAGAAGTGCGAGATTTGTTCCCTGCAATTCCAAACTGGGAGGAAAAAAGAAACCAAAAACACAACCACGCCGGAATGGCTGCCGAGGGGCGCGTGGGGCAGCGCTGGCTGGGCCCGGCCACCAAGCTTCGGGCTCTGCTTCCTCCGAGCTCAAAGGTATCCGGGCACTCGGTCGGGGTAGGGGGGTGGAAAAGAGCAATGGCAGTCCCACCCAGCAGCACGTGCGGGTACCAGGAGGGCAGGGGGCCCCTCGCCCCTGCTGGGCCGCACAGCCCTCCCTCTTCCTAGCCCACCAGGTACCTGAGCGACCGGTGCCTCCCGTTTCTTGCCTTCGGACACCCGACTGGACTCCTCGCTGCTGGTGGCCCCAACAGTGCTGGCTCTGACCGCAGGCCTTGAGTGGGCCGTGAACACGGGCACGTTTGTTCTAGTGGCTGAGACGGAGCAGGGGGCCCAAGTCAGTGCACGTGAGTAGCGATCCCCAGTATCAGCCCTTCCTGGGGCCTGGCCCCTGCTCACGTCACTGGCAGGAGAGGCCTGCGTGGTGCCCTCCCTCAGTCTGACAAGTGGGAGACGTCACCATCGCATGTCACAGGCTTGTGTGCCATGGCAGCGGCCCCAGGATCTCCCCTTGCCCCCACACCCCTGTTCTCCTGTCCTTGACGATGCCCCCTTGAGCCAGCCAGGCCGCTACTTTGAGTAAAGGCAGGAGCGCTGGTATCAAATGGGAGTCTGCATTTAGAGGAGTCTTCTTGGGAATATCTGGGTCGTTTGCCAAGGCTCAGCTATGTGTTCACCGCAGCACCATTTGTGCTGGCCCTGAGCCCGCGGACAAAGCCCTTAGCTCTCTCCAGCTCGGCCCTGCCTCCGGAAACCAGGCTAAGTCCACCCAAAGGACTGCTTCGTGACCGGCAGGCAACACGTGGTAGATGCGCAACATGTCAAGTAAAAATTACGGAGCGTAACATACAGTTAAGAGCTCACTAAAAACACATACGCGGCTTATGTTTCTGTAAAGCCAACAGCTATAAAACGTCGATAATTGTTCCAGACCGTGGGATCACAGTGCCATTCTCTCTTTTGTGCTTCTCCGTGTTTAAGGAGACCACCAAGACCAGGCATGCTGCTTCTCCTCATAGAGAGTGTTTCGGCCTGAACCGTTTTCCTAAAGTCGTCGGTCATACCACAGGCTCTCGGCAGTGAAAGAAACCCCAGACGTGGCACTGTCTCCCACTGACAGACAGAATCCTGGCCTACAATGTCTGGTTTGGGACTCCCTAAGCCTCCTTACATGCCACCAAGAACAGGAGGCTCACCACCATTCTCCCTGTTCAGGCCGTCAGTCACTACAGGGTTCTTCCTGAGACTACGTAGAAATGTGTCGTACAGCTTCCCACCACTGGCGCGGGTTCCTCCCCTTGGAGCCGGCACAGAACTCGCAGCAAATACGCCTCCAGAGACGGGCACTGGAGGCAGTTCCTCACGGGGATGGGCCAAGCCCGTCCTGACCAACATGCTGTGTGACCGTCAGCACCCTCACCCCTTTGGGCCTCGATGAGGGTCTGCGCGTGCGTATGTGCTGGCTAGCGTGTGCGTGCCTGCGTATGTGCTGGCTGGTGCACACGTGCGTATGTGCTGGCTGGTGTGTGTGTGCCTGCGTATGTGCTGGCTAGTGCACATGTGTTTATGTGCTGGCTAGCTTGTGCATGCCTACGTATGTGCTGGCTGGTGCACACGTGTGTGCATATGTACGTGCTGGCAGCCCCTCCCAGGTGAGCCTGGCTGGGGGAGTGAGCCCTGTGTCACAGGCCTGTGCTCACCGGGAGTGGAGCACTGCGTAGCAGGAATCACATCCTCGTCCTCGCTCTCCGAGGAGGAGCTCCTGGCTGCGCTCTCGGAGGCCCGGGCCTTCTGCGGGGTGTCTGCAGCTGGGGCTTGTGTGGCGGTAGCAGCTGGGCCAGCTGGACTACGATTAGGGTCGACAAAAATCAGAGGGGGTTTAATCACCTTGAAAAACAAAAACAAAACATACCCCCCGAGTGATTAAAGACTTGGCCAGGCAAAGGGGAAGCTGGGTAGGGGTCTTACAAGGCAAGGGGTCTGGAGAGCTTGGGGCCACCGGGCAGGCAGAGGGCACCACGGCTGCCCAGGGTGCTCCCGGCGCGCCCTCAGCCCATGCACCTGCTAAGACCTGCATGGTACCTCATGGCTCAGCAGGAGCCCATGTGACCTTCCCAGGAATCCCCAACGTTAGCAGTAGAGGCTCCCTTGTACAGGTGGGAAAACTCTCAAGTCCAGAGAGGAGAAAAGAACTGCCTGAGAACACACAGCTAACGGAACACAGATGGGGCCTGATGCTTGCCCACAGGGTGCTCTGAGCACCACGCCCCTTGGCCGCCGGTCCTAACACACGATTCACTGCGTAATCCAGCAGCCCCTACCCCGGAGCCTCTGATGCAGCCTCCTGAGATGTGGGCCTGGGTGCCACGACCCAGCTACACTGAGCCAATGCCTTCAACAAATAAACTGCACAGGGGAAAAACCCAGCACATTAAGACCTAAGGGACTCAATGTAGCGTGTGGCCCTTGTGTGAATTCTTACTTGGACACACCACATGTAAAGCATATTAGATAATCTGGGAAATGGAGACACCGACTTCACAGGTGAGTTTCTCAGGGGTGATGGTGTATGGTGGCTGTCCTTTGAAAAAAAAAAAAAAGGAACCCAGGGTACCGGGGAAGGAGGGGAAGATTTGCATGAAAGCGAGCCCGGTCACGACTGCAGACCCGCTGAGGCTGGGCAGGACACGTGGGGTTCTCTGACACTGTTCTATCTTTGGGCAGGCTTCACATCTTCCAGGGAGGCGGTAAAAGACAGAGAAAGTGGCAGCTCCTGGGGATCCCGCAGACCAGGCTGGGTCACAGCTCTGGTGGATGTGTCCACTGCTCACATGGGCACCTCGCATGCATTGAGCCAGGGAGCCAGACGAGCCTACCCACCAGCCTCAGGTCAGACTTGGTCTGAGTTCTAGTCCCCGTCTGGCCTGGGCCGGCGGAACACAGGAAGCAGGCACAGAAGCAGGAAGCTTGCTCAGGGACCCAGTCTTGCCTACCACACCACCCTGCCTTCCTCTAGGGCCCAGAGAGCAGGGGGAGAGGCACTGTGAAAAGTAAAGGAGAGGGGTAACCACCAGAGGGCGGAAGCTTTGCTGGGCTGGGGCCCTTCCTCCCCTTGCCACACAGCCTCCCCCGCGGCTGCTCTGATCTGCCACTTCCAGAGCCTGACTTCCCACATGATGAAAGAGAGAAGGATGGAAAGTGGGAGAAGGCTTACAGTTGAGGGAGGGGGGGGATCTATATATATGTGAGAAGACAGAAGAACAGATTGTCGGGGATGCAGAGAGGCACTGAACCCACCAAGGCAAACAATAGCGTCTGGGATGTTAAAAGCAGCTCGGCAGCAAACGCCTCCTCCTCCACACTCCACCTGCCCACGCGGCCTCTGGGCTGGGGGCGGTGCAGGAGGTCCTGGCTCGGAACGCTGGGACACCAGGGTCCAGGGCTAAGCTCTGGACACGATAGTAGTTCAGTGGCAATGGATAGTTGAAAAGGTGGCCCATGCAACCCACAGATGCAGGGAAACCCGCCTCTGATCCTACCTCTTCCAGACTTCACTGTGCGGCCCAACCCCTAGCTTCATGGGCCTCAGTTTCCCGCCTGTTGAAAAGCCTATTAGTAATCCCAGCCTGGGCTTGCTCCCCAGAAGGGCTCTGACTCGCTCTGGAAACTGCAAAGCACGGCACGCACAGACAGAGGTGACAGTTAAAGACTCAATGGAAGCTGATGTAGCCTGAACGTTGGGCTGGGCCTCCCTGGAGACGCGGGGCAGTGAGGGCCCAGAGGGAATGCGGGGACTCCCTCCCCACCGCAGAGCTCACCACTGGGCCCTCATTCCAGCTAGTGGCAGAGTGGGGGCGGGGGGCTGTCTAGCCTAGGCTGTTAACCCTGGGAGCGAGGGACAGAGCCAAGGCAGCACCAGGAGCCTCCTGAACTGCCCGGGGCTGGTTAACAGGTCCCAGGCCGGCCCTACCCCAAGGGGCCAGGAACCCCCACTCTCCAGGGATGAGCCTGGAGCTTCCATGGTTCACCAGTCCCCAGGGACTGTCACCCCATGGGCTGAGAAAGCTGAGGCTCAACAGAGGGCACGTGGCCTCACTCAGGGTGACCAGGAAACCGTGCCAGATCTGTACCCGAAGTTAGTTCTCCAGGCAACAGGCAGGAGCTCCTTCCACAACCAGCCACGCTATGGCTCCCACTTAACACCCTAATTCAGTTCCTTTCAGGTCTTCTTCTCTGACTATACCTGAAAGTTTGAGGACAGGGCTTTTGTCTTAATACAGAACCTGCCCCAGACCCTAGCACAGACCCTGGCCAGGGCTAACAATGCCAGCACAACAGGGCTGAGCAACAGACCACCCCCAGAAATTTCTCTTAGAGAAAGAGGCTGGAGCCCATCCCTGCAGGTGGGGCGACTGAGGCACTGTGAGGGAGCCTGGGAATGGAGTCACATCCCCCCTGCCTGAGGCTCTGCCCACCACTCTGGCATCAATCCCTTTCCCCCCACTGATGGGCTAATAATAAATACAGAGCGTAACTTGTCAATAGAGAAGTGCTTGACAAATGCATAATCATGACGATAATCATGGTTAGCACGCTGAGGACGAGGGAGCTAAAATCCCCTGAGTCAAAGGAGCCTATGGCTTCCCCAGGCCGTGCCGTCTCCCCTGAAACCTCCTAGGGAAAGGCGCAAAATGCCAACTTTTGTCCTTCTTTTTTAATAGGAACTCCAGAATCTTTAGGACTAACGTACCAATTAAACGGTTCAGTTTAGGCATGATGTTCACTGTAATTGTGTCAGTCCACCCCCGCAGAGAAGCGAGAGGTGGCCCCCTCCCTCCCAGCTTTCCCGCTCCTGCTCAGAGAAGGCGACCTCGTAAGGGCGCCTGGAGAGCCGGAGGGCAATGCCAGAGCCACCTTCCTCCTTCACGGGAGAGAGGAGCGTGGAGGCAGTGCTGGGCAGCAGGCAGGTCACTCGACTTCTCTGAGCCTCATTCCTTCCTCCTTAATGGGAATAAAAGACGGACCTACCCTCACAAGGCTACTGAAGGAATTAAGCAGAATAAGGAAGTATGGCGTTTAGCACAGTGCTTGGCACATGGAAAGTGACCCACAACGTTAGATGTAGCCATTTATCACAATGATTATAATCTGTGCTACCGAGAAGACAAAGGCAGGGCACCCCGCGCCACCGCTAGGGGCGTGCAAGCAGCATGTGGTCTCGCGGACAGGCTGATCAGCGCGTGCCAGGGTATGTGAGGGAGATGGGTAAGGAAGACCCCACCCATCTGGTAATTGTAGGACTCGTGTCCCCAAGGGGACCTGGCAGAAGCTTCTGGGCACTTGGGGCTAGAGGACAAAGGGCAATGCCATCTGCTAGAAAGGCTGGGGTTCACACAGAGGCCTGGACACCAGTCTAGCAGACTTAGAAGTTGGGGAGACCAGGCAGGCCGGGTCCCAGCCTTAGGGGTGCAGTCTGGGGAGGGCTCAGGGTGCAGTGGAGCACGTGACCACATGCCACAGGTCGGCCCCCTGGATTTGGACAAACACATAGGGAAGGCTCCCAGGGCCCAGCAGGGAGCTGGGGGCCAGTCTACCTCGGCCTTGGCTTCTTATGGGTTGTGAGTGCTTGGAGAATTGACATCAACTCACTAGGCCTTGACTCCTGACGCATCAAACGGGCAAAAGCACGTGCCCTCCTACCCCAGAGCACAGATGCAGGAGGGGAGGACTGTTACTCTGCCTGCTTACAGTGGAAACATCTGGGCCCCAGAAAGGTTAAGGTGTGGCCACGGTCAGGGGACTGGCGGCTGGGAGAGCTGGTGTTGACCCTACACTGGCTCTGAGGCTGATGTTAAGTGATGCCCTGCTGCTTCCCTCCTGGAGGTTACTGGGAAGGTGAATGTATTGAATCAGGGGGAAGAGATCAGGAAACTATGAAGTGCTGTTTAAATGGCACAGGTCTGCCCTTGCCCTCTCTCCTCCCACCAGAGGCCCACTGCCCCGCCCTGAGCCTGCAGCGTTGCCAAGAAGAGGAGGGACCCACCTGGCTGGCCGGCAGCTCCTCGTCACTGCTCTCTGAGGACCCTTCCGCATCCTTCTCCGGAGGTGCAGGGACCACGGTCTTGCTTCTGGCAGTTTTGGGGTTACCCTCCTTCTGAGGGGACAAGCACACGGGTGGGGGAGGGGAGGTGTTAGCCGAAGGGGGAATACACCTGAGGGACCAGGGGCGGGGAATCCACAGCCAGTGAGCAATGAGCCTCACACATGCTGGCCATCCACGAAGGCAGCAGAGCCCCTTACTACCGGCACAGAGGGGAGAGCTACTGGTTTGGCATGCCCCGCAGCCTCTGGAAACAGGCTTCTGCTCTGCAAACACCCCTTCCCGAGCTGACTCTGACTCGAAAGGGGCGTGCAAGTCAGCCCTGCTAAAACCCGAGTGCTGTGGGCCGGGCATCCAACACGGAGACAGCAGTGCAGGATGAGGCTGCGGAGGTGGCCCTGGCACAGCTCCTGTCCGGCGGTAACACCCCCAAGGAAAAGCAGAGGCCAGCCGGCAGTGCCCCAAGCCTGCCATCCCGTCCTGCCAGGCCAGGCATAAATGAGGAAGGCTGGCTGGGCAGAGGCTGCAAGTCAGGGGGCCAGAAGAGCGGGCACTGGTGGGGACTGGCTCTGGCGAGCCCAGGGCAGGGCCGAGGCCCCTCTTTACTACTCAGCCCAGCCACCAAAGTTGCCCACGTCCAATTTCTCCAGAGTGGTTAGAAGATCCCAGATCATGTCATTTCCCAATGTTTAAATGGGTCAGCTATAACATGCGCTGCAACGGCCCCGCCCCCACGTCTTCCTTGTGCACTGAACCCCAACTCTGCCCCACGCCAGGCTCTGAGCAGGGCCGCCCCTCTCCCAGCCAATCACAGAACAAGACCCTTACCAATGAGCAGGGGCTTTTTTGGTTTTTTTGGTCAGGGGAAGCACATGCCCTAGATCCGGACAGGAAGATAGGAGGGAGGTCAGCTGGGGGGCTTCCTAGCTCTTCTGGGGGTGCTGTGACCTGGCCCTGACCGGGAGGCAGGTGGAGCAGAAGAAATCAGGGTCACTGAGAAGGCTGAGCTGAACGAACCACCTTAGAGCAGCTTTACCCCAAAACTTTGTACCCAAAACTATGAGGTAGCCAATCCCCCTTAAGCTCTTGCAATTAGATTTCTTCTTGAAGATTAGGATATCCTGATACAGGAAACCACTTAAAACTTAACAAAAACCCACCAAAATGCTGCACGTCTAGACATGGCCTGAGCCTTGTGTCTTAGTCTGGCACCGAGGCCCCCATACATGGTACTGGTCACAAGCAACCAGATGTGAATACTGCCTGCTGGATGGTGGGCCTCTGTGGAGCACACTGGACCTCACATCCCCTCCCCTTGGCAACCCCTGTCCCCTAAGCCCCCGGACTGCCTAGCTCCACGTTTTTGCCTGGTGAACCCCTTGTCTTCCCTGGAGCTCTGCTCGATGGTCTCTTCTGGCCTCTCAGAGACCTGTTCTCCCAGTTCCATCAGACAGAGCACTACCAGAAGATTCTGCAATAATCCAGTCACTTCATCTTGCCCTATGGACTACAAGCCCCACTGAGGGCAGGGCCAACATCTTTCATCCCTTTACGTCTACGAGCAAGAGAGAGCATTTGCCGTTGGTCTGACGCGCTGTAGGAAGAAGCCAGTGCTAGGAGCGCTTAACAGACTTCTTGATGCTCGTTTTACACGTGAAGAAAACAGGAACCTAAAAGGGGCTGGGGCCCGACCCAGCACAGGGTTTTCCAGCTTCCCTTAAGAAACAAAGATCTAGGGGCACCTGGGTGGCTCTGTTGGTTAAGCATCTGACTTCGGCTCAGGTCATGATCTCACAGTCGTGAGTTCTTGCTTTGCACGAGGCTCTGTGCCGACAGCTCAGAGCCTGGAGCCTGCTTCAGATTCTGTGTCTGCTTCTCTCCTTACTCCTCCCCTGCTCACACACTCAATGTCTCAAAAATAAACATAGAAGAAAAAAACCCAAAACCCACAAAGATCTGGCTACAGAAAGAGTACACTTCTACAAGGTCACACTGGCTGCCGGAGTGGACAGGAACCATCTTTCTAGATGGGGCAAGAGCTCTCCAGTTTGGCCTGGCTGCCACTACCCACCACGGTCTCTCCTGACACCTAGGCTCAATGCTGACTACCAGGCCTACGTATATCATTCCATCCCGTGTCTGAGCCTGAGAAGTCCCGGAGTTTGTCCCCCTGAACCTCAGCAGGACACAGCAGCTCCTGCTGCATTCTGCAAACAGAAGGAAAATCGTCCAGAAAGAAGCTGGCTCCTCACTCCCTCCCTTTTTCCACTCCCCAGGCTTCACCCCAGATGAGCTCTCCTTGGGGATATGTACATACCTAATGAGGGCCCTGGTGAGGGATGGGGCTTCCCCTGGCCCCCAGGGGACCCACGGTACCTGCCTCACAGGCTGAGCCTCCTTGGAGGCTGAGCCGTCTCTGGATCCCGGGCCTCATTTACCTGGGCAGGAGTCGGTGGCTTAGCCCTGTGTGGGGCTGGCGTGTCCACCCGTGCTGCGGAGGCCTTGGTGGATTTAGGAGTGCCCGCAACGCCTTTCACCAGCAAGGCCTTGGTCTGGGGGGCTTTTCCGGCGGGCTGCACCTAGAGACACACGGAAGACGGCAGCTGGGATAAGGATCCTGGAGCCATAGCCCTAACCTGGTCTTCTGTCCTCACCTGGCCCCGAACCCAAGTTCTGAGCGAGGAGGGGTGGTGATGGCTCAGAGGCCCGGCGTTGTAGCTGCTTCCTCATTAGGCCTCACCTGGGCCGGCGCCTCCTCCTTCTCCTCCTCGGTGTCAGACTCCTCCTCACTGCTGCTCTCCGAGTCCTCCCCTGGCTTCCCAGCCGGTGTGGCTCCAGCTCCGGACTTCCTGGGGGTGCCTGCCGCAGCCCCTTTCCTGGCGAGCCCCTTGCTGGGGGCTGAGATGGTTGTGACCTGGGGGGTCTTCCCTGAGGGCTTTGCCTGGAGTGAGAGAAACAGAATCAGGGAAGGAGCCAAAGAGACAGCACAGGGCTGCTCTTGGCCCTCCCCGGGCCTCACCTGAGTGGGGGCCTCCTCATCACTGTCTGACTCCTCTTCACTGCTCTCCGAGTCCTCCTGTGGGCCCCTGACTGGCCCCGGCTGGGCCTGCGCTGCCGCGGCCATGGCTTTCCCCACGGCTGGCACAGAGCCCTGGCCCCTCCCGGAGACAGCACTGCTCTGGGGGGCTCTTGCTGTTGGCTTTACCTGAATCGTGAGGAGGTGACAGTATTGGGGAAGGAAGTCGACACCGCGGTTGCATTTAGATTACGTGCCACCCACAGTGTGACTGTGCGAGGCCCTTTCCAGGCCTAGGCCACCGCTTGGTCCTCCTTGCCACCCCAGCTCTGGCACCTACTGGGGCTTCTGGTCCCACTTGCCTTGGCTGGGGACTCTTGTTTGGCCGGAGCAGCTGCAGCAACTGCCTTTCCGGGAGCTGAGCCTGCCCCTTTGGCCGAAGCCGCTCTGCTGGAAGCTGGGTTGGCTTTGGTCTGTGGGGTCTTCACCGCGGTCTTCACCTGGAAGGGGAAACAGAACGACAGAATGGGCAAGGAGAGATGCAGGGTGGTTAGCCAAGAACACAGATTCTGGAGGTGGATGCCCGAGTTTGGATTCTTGCTCCTCTATTTAGTGGCTGTGTGAAGTTGGGCAAATCACTAACCTCACCAGGCCTCAGTTTCCTTCTCTGTAAAATGGAGATAATAACAAGCCCACCCATAGGGTTATTATGAGGATTAAGTGAGAGTCTCATAGTGTTTAATATGGAGCCTGGCACATAATAAGCACGTAAACGCATTACTGTGAACAATTTTCCAAATGTTAGCTAAGTACAAGCCTGTCCAGAGCAAAGGTGTTTTCCAGGCTCCCTTTCAGCTAGGCGGCCATGTATTTTACTTCTGGCTAACAGAATGGAAGTTGAGTATACAATTTGACTTCCTTACACATACAAAAACATGTGTCTTCTTCCTCCCAAATGGAAGGAATGCTGAGGTAATAGCTGGAGCTCAAGCAGCCATCTTAGTCTACAAGGTGGGAGCCAGGCACTCAGCATGGCAGAACAAGATAGAAAACCACTGTTGTTTCTTCCATTTCGCCTAATCTTAACTGATGTCCAAGTGATCCCCAAAAAGCTCGTTGGGATATCCAAGCAAACACACACTAGTGAGATGATAGCAACAAAGAAAATCTTGGGCCGTGAGATTAAAACCCCCCTGGAGAACAGACTGTGTCTGATAAAGGCCACGGTGCTCATCAGCACAGAAAAGTTGTCCTGAGGGGAGTAATGTCTTCTGCATACATTTAAGAAGACAAAAGACACCAGGACTAAGTTAATCTAACAAGTCTCAATAAACTTCAAAGGGCTGACATCATGCCAAATGTTCTCCAGCCACAGTGGGATTAAATTAGAAATCAACCACAAAAAGAAATCTGCACAGTCCCAGATATTCACAAACTAGCCCACTTCTAAATAACCCACAGGTCAGAGAATAAGAATAAAAAACCCAACATTTCAAAATTTTTGGGAGGAAGTTAATGCAGTCCTTACAGTTAATACAATGAAATTCATTGCATTAAACACTTTCATTAGAAAAACAAGAGAAGCATCTGGGTGGCATCCAACTCTTGGTTTCTGCTCAGGTCATGATCTCATGTTTCGCGAGATGGGGTCCTGACTAGGGTGTAGGGCTTCATGCTGTCAGCAGGGTGGGGAGAAGGTAGGGTTTTCCACCAGCCTGCTTAGGATTCTCTCTCCCTCATACCCCCCACTCTCTCATGTGTTCTCTCAAAATAAATAAACTTTAAAACAACAACAACAACAACAACAAAACCCAAGAGCTACAATAAACAATTTAAGATCCCACGTTGGGGTACTTGGATGGCTCAGTAGGCTGAGCTTCTGACTTTGGCTCAGGTCATGATCTCATGTTTGTTTTTTTTTACATTTTATATTTATTATTGAGAGACAAAGAGAGACAGTGAGAACAGAGGAGGGGCAGAGAGAGGAGACACAGAATCCGAAGCAGTCTCCAGGCTCTAAGCAAGCTGTCAGCACAAAGCCCGACGCGGGGCTTGACCCACGAACTGTGACATCATGACCCGAGCTGAGTCAGACGCTCAACCAAGTGAGCCACCCAGGTGCCCCATGATCTCATGGTTTCTGAGTTTGAGCCCCACATCGGGCTTGCTGCTGTCAGCACAGCGCCTGCTCTAGATCCTGTTCCTCTCTCCCTCTTTCTCTGCCTCTCCCGTCATACACGCTCAAAATAAATTTACACCTTAAGAAGCTAGAAAAAAAAGAGCAAATTGAACCCAGAGAAGGAATAATAAAGATCAGAGCAGATGGGGTTAAGTCTCCAGCTCTTCATTCCAGCTCAAGTCACGATCTCACAGTTGTGAGATTAAGCCTGTGTCGGGCTCCTCTGTGCTGGGCCTGGAGCTGCTTAAGACTCTCCCTCTGCCCCATGCACACACACTTTCTCAAAAAAAAAAAAAAAAAGATCAGAGTGGAAACTAATGAAATAACAACCAGAAAATACATCAATGGAACCAAAAGTTGTTTCTTTGAAAAGAACAACAAAATTGGTTAAGTCTTTAGCTAGGCTGACCAAGAAGAGAAGACACAAATTACTGAAATTTAGCAAGAAGGCAGGACTACAGACCCTATGGAAATTAAAAAGAATTATAGAGAATATTATGAACAAATTTATGTCACCAAATTAGACAACGGAGATGAACACACACGTTTCTAGAAAGGCACAAATTATTAACAGTGCACAAAATTACTAGGAGGTACAAAGTAGAACTGACTCAAGAAACCAGAAAACCTAAAATGACTAATAATCAATTTTCAAACTTGATTTATTTAAAAAAAAATTTTTTTTTTTTAATATTTTTATTTATTTCTAGGAGAGAGAGAGAGAGAGACAGCGTGAGCAGGGGAGGGTCAGAGAGAGAGGGTGTCACAGACTGAAACAGGCTCCAGGTTCTGAGCTGGCAGTCAGCACAGAGCCCGACGCGGGGCTCGAACCCACAAACCGCGAGATCATGACCTAAGCGAAAGTCGGACGCTTAACCGACTAAGCCACCCAGGCGCCCCTAAAAAAAATTTTTTTTTAATGTTTTATTTCTGAGAAAGAGGCAGCATGAGCAGGGGAGGGTCAGAAAGAGAGAGGGAGACACAGAATCCAAAGCAGGCTCCAGGCTCTGAGCAAGCTGTCAGCACAGAGCCCAATGCGGGGCTCCAACCCAAGAACCATGAGATCATGACCTGAGCTGAAGTCAGACTCTTACCTGACAGAGCCACCCAGGCACCCCTCAAACTTGATTTAGTAATTAAAAATCTTTGGGGCGCTTGGCTGGCTCAGTCGGTTAAGCATCCGACTTCGGCTCAGGTCATGATCTCACAGTTCTTGAGTTCAAGCCCTGCACTGGCCTTACTGCTGTTAGTGCAGATCCCACTCTGGATCCCCTTTCCCACTTGCACTCTCTCTCCCAAAAATAAACATTAAAAAAAAAAAAATCTTCCATACACAAAAAATACAGGCCCAGATGGCTTTGCTGGCGAATTCTATTAAGGAAGAAATAATGTCAATCTAACATAAACCCTCAGAAAACAAAGGGGAGAATACTACCCAACTTATTTTATGAGGCCAGTATCACTATGATACCAATGCCAGGCTAAGACATCACACGAAAACTACAGACTAATATTCCTTATGGATGTAGACCCAAAAACCCTTAACAAATGACTTAGCAAACGAAACCCGGCAAGGAAAAGGAGTATACACCATGACCAAGTGGGATTTACCACAAGAACAAAATATTGATTTAACACCTGAAAATCAACCAAGTATAATACACTCCATTAAAGGAACAAAGGAAAAAACTGGTAAGATCACTTCAACAGAAAAAAGCATTTGATAAAAATTCAACTAATAAAAACTCCCAACAAACTAGGAATAGAAAAGAACTTGGGGCACCTGGCTGGCTTGGTCGATAAGAGCATGCGACTCTTGAGCTTGGGGTTGTGAGTTTGAGCCCTGTGTGGGTGTAAAAATTACTTAAAAATAAAATCTTTAAAAAAAGAAAAAAACATTCTCATCCTGATAAAGGGAATCTTTGAAAAATTTAGAGCTAACATCATACTAAACAGTGAAAGACTGAGTGCTACGCCCTAAATTAAAAACAAGGCAAAGGCGTCTGCTCTAACTGTGGCTACTGAGCACTGCACTGGAGGCTCTAGCCAGTGCAGTAAGGCAAGAAAGAGAAATAAAAGCCATCTAGATTGAAGAGGAAAGAGTATAACTGTCCTGATTCACAGACAACAAGATCTGTATATAAAAAGCCCTAGGGGCTCTATAAAGGCCATGAAAATTGATAAGCCAATGTGACGTCACCACAGGATGTAAGAACGTACACGGCAAGGCTGGACCCCGAGGCACCATACCGCCATTCAGCCATTCCTGACACACTGACCAGCCTCTCTCCCACCCTTCTCACACGTGGGCTCTCTTCCTACAGCACTTCAACTGACATCAATGGAGAATCACCTCCTTCCTCAGTCTCTGTCTGGCCCATCTGGTTTTCCAGAACCGAGCCTGTCTTTGTCACTCTATTTGGAACCTCACCTCTCAGGTGGACGGTGTCCTTTGAGCTGGCTGGGGTCTCCGAGCAGACCAGAGGCTATGTGTCTCACTTCTGACCCGAGCTATCCTGAGCAGTGTGGAACCCACTTAGTGTGTACAGGCAGCATTTTGAGAGCAAGGCCATGATTTCATTTAATGTTGCTCCTAACCCCGTAACAGAGGCTTAATTATCCTTACCCCTTAAGACAGGATTCCCATCAGACCCACCGCTCTCACTGGGGGCAACTTAGGCCTCCTGAAGTTAGGCCAATGCACCGTCTCCTGACAGGGCACCAGGCTAGAAGGCTGGGCCCCTAGAGAGGGTTTAGCCGCTTTATTTCACACCTTGAGAGGAAGGAAGGCCCCACAGCACAATCATGTCTGTGGCTGGAGAAGTTTGGCCCAAAACATAGCAGGAGGAAGCATGAAAGGCAAAGGCTTCTGAGGTGGACACGCTGGGGCACAGGCCCCGCTGACTCTCACTGGCTGGTTGAATGGAAGCCGGTCAGCAAACAACTCTTCTAAGCTCTAATTTCCTCCCCCAGACACGGAAGCAAATGAACACCTGTCTAATGGTACTGGTGGGAGGCTCAGATGGGGAGACAACGACTTCAGCGATGGGCACAGTGGAACTTTTCAGGCATTGGTCTGGAATGTGTGGAAACGGGATAGGAGCCGCGGGGCTGGGACTCAGGCAGGGCCCACACACAACTGTCAAATCACAGGAGAATCACAGGAGCCTGGGTCCCACAAGGCAACAGTGAGGGGGGGGCAAAAGAAAAAATCCCAGAGCAAACGCGTGTTCTGGTAGAGGGAAAACAGAAATGACTAATTTCTGAGTGGTTATTGGGAGGAGAGGGGAAGAAGAGCGACAATTACAAATAATAAACTGTGGGCGAGTGAATGCAAGGTGTGAGCGATCTTCACTTCTCCCGGCTCAATTCTTCCAGGTTGGGAGGGGACTCCTGATTCTGCCTGGCCCACCCCCAGGGTGGCAGAGGAGCGAGCCTGCTGTGTGCACAGACCCCTTGCTGGGTATGGTGGGTGAGAACTCTGTAAATTCTCAACCCTGTGAAGGCTGATTTCCAATTTACAGAGGCCCTGACAGATTTCATCACTTGCTAGGAAATGGTGCCAGGACTTGAACCCGGGCAGTCTGGCCCCGAGCCCCCTGCTGTCAGCCGCTGCCACACCATTTCCCCCAGTGATCCCACCAACATGCTCTGCCTCAGGCAGCTCCCTCAGGTCAGGCACTCTCCCACCCTCGGGGCATAGAGGCAAGTTTCTTTGCCTGGAACACTCCATTTCCCCTGGCCAGCTCCTTCAGCCCACAGTTCCAGTGCCCCTTCCTCCAGGAGGCCTTCCCTCCCGGAAGCCCCCAGATGCTATCACCCGCAGTGCTGTTAGCCCAGGTACACAACCTTAGCACATTACGCTGGGATAACCCGTGTGCACATCCCACGCCCCTGTCTAGACTAGGAACTCCCTGAGGGAGACGGGACAGCACCAGGCAGAGGGGCCAGAGCTTGTGGATGGCGTAGGGAGCCTCAATGTGAGCTCAAAAGGCCACGGGCAAGACTGCATCTCTGACAGGTGGAGGAGACTGAGTGAAAAGTGGGGAACGAGGCTGAGCTGAGGTGGCCCTTGAGGCTTCTGCACAGCCGGGAGCCAGCGCAGCTCAGAAAAGCTCCTCCCCAGCCCTGCCCTGGACTCCGGTGCAGGTGGGACAGGCTGGCTCCTCCCAGGCCTCACCAAGGCTGGAGTGGTGGTCACCTCCTCGCTGTCCGAGTCCTCCTCACTGCTCTCTGAATCTTCCTGCATCTCAGCTTTGGCTGGGGCTGTTGCAGGCCCTGCCTTCCCAGCGGGCACTGGGGCAGCCCCCTGGCCTGAGGACCCCTTGGTGGGTGCAGAGGCAGCTCTCACCGGGATGCTTTTCCCCACAGACTTTGCCTGGAATGACAGGGAAGAGACACGTATAGCGGGAGGCTGAAGGGCGACGTGAGGACTAGCCCAGAGTCTGCCAGACAAACTTGGCTTCACCTGTCCTGCTGGGGCGGCAGGAGCGGTCTCCTCCTCACTCTCGGACTCCTCGCTGCTTGAAGAGTCCTCCGGCCTCTGGGCGCCCCTGGGCATAGCTGGAGGTGGCATCGCTCCCGCCTTCCAAGGGGCCGGCGTGCCCACTCGCAATGGGGGGACCTTGACAGGTGCAGGCGTAACAGGGGTGCCCTTCTTTGGGGAGGCCTTGGTCTGGGGTGTTCTCATAGCCGGTTTTGCCTGAGAGGAAGCAGAAGTCAGAAGCTAGAGAAGTAGCCTGAATTCAGAGCCCCCATTGGTTCTGGGGTGGAGCCCTCCTGTTCCTCCCCACAGCTCCCCGGGGAGCTGCCTGGTGTCAGTGGCTCAGGTCAGGCTGCAACGCGGTCCCTCCTGGGCCCACCTGGGCAGGAGCCAAGGCTGCAGGCGCCTCCTCTTCACTGTCTGACTCCTCCTCACTACTCTCGGAGTCCTCGTTGGACATTTCGGCCTTGCCCTGGGTGGCTTCAGGCCCTGCCTTCTGAGGGGGGCCCTTGGCAGGACCTGAGGCAGCTGTGACCTGGCGGACTTTCCCTGAGGACTGTGCCTGCAGTGAGACACACGGGATCAGGGGAGGGAGCGGAAAGCATGGCTGTGTGCAGAGACACAAGAAACCAAGAGGGCAAACAGAGGCAGCGTGTGGGTGTGTGCGTGGGGGGCTCCTGACACTGAGGGGGAAAGAAGAAACGTACAGGCAGGAGCCTCACCTGGGCCGGCGCCTCCCCCTCGCTGTCTGACTCCTCCTCGCTGCTGCTCTCTGAGTCCTCCGGTTTCCCTACCTGGGTGGCTGCAGGCCCTGCCTTCTGAGGGGGCCCCTTCACAGGACCCGAGGCAGCTCTGACCTGGGAGTTTTGCCCCAAGGGCTTTGCCTGGAGTAACAGAAGACAGGGTCAGGACAGGAGCCCACCGGGGAACGTGTGTGAGGGAAGATGAGGCGAGGAAAGCAAATGCGGGGCCTGAAGCCCAAGGCGCGGAAGGGGAGGACAAGCCAACAGACGGGCTCTCCAGAACGAGGCACGGGCCGCTGCGGGGTGGCTGGCAGCCTCACCTGAACAGGGTTCTTGGCCAGGGACGCAGCTGCCGGCACCTCCCCCTCGCTGTCAGACTCCTCGGTGCTGCTCTCCGGGTCTTTCTCCTTGCCCTGCCCCACCTGAGCCTGCGCAGCTGCAGGCCCTGCCTTGCCAGGGGGCACTGGAGGGGCCCCTTTCCTAGGGGATCCCTTGGCAGGAGCTGAGGCAGCTTTGACCTGGGGGGTCTTCCCTGAAGGCTTCACCTGGAGGGAGACAAGTAGAAATCAGGGAGGGAGCAGACAAGGGGGGACAATGAGGAGACAGAGGAGGCTGGACAGGGCAAAGGATGCCACACATGAGAAGGAGGGCAGGGCTCTGAGCATGTGCAGGGCCCTTGCAGACAGAGGGCGGAACCAGGCCTCAGAAGGCCTTCTGGGGAGGGGTACAGGCTTCATGGACTCTCCTTCTCCAGGCCTCACCTGAAGTGGCAACTTGGCAGCTGGTGGCTCCTCCTCGCTGTCAGATTCCTCCTCACTGCTGCTCTCGGAGTCTTCCACTGGCTTCCCTGCCTTGGCCTGGGCAGGTGCAGGCCCTGTCTTCCCAGGGGGTACTGGGGTGGCCCCTTTCCCAAGGATCGCCTTAACAGGACCTGAGGCAGCTCTGACCTGGACGATTTTCTCCGAGGCCTTCACCTGGTAAAAGAGAAAGGACAGTTTGTTCCCCTCCTCACCCTCCGGTGGTGCCCTCAGGACAAAGCCAAGGCCTTAGCTGGGGCTCACGAGATCCCCCCGCTTCTCACGCTCCGCCGTGACTGGCGCTCAGGCCTGACCCATTGGCTTCACTCTCACTCTGGCGCCTTCACAGCCCTGCCCGGCTCACTTGGCCATCGCTCCACCTCCGCCAGGTCCGAGACACACAGCAGTTCTCATGGCAGTCCTCCCTGATGCCCCTGCGCTGCTCCCAGCGTCACCCATACACAGGTGTCAGAGGCTCCCATGGTAGGGCTCCCGTCAGCGGGAGACCCCCGTGAGCACAGGCTCGTCCGGCGTGGTCCTAGCTGTGCTGTCACAGTTCTCTCTCCCACGTCGGGAGCCCGGGCACTTGCTGGGCTCCCCAGCAGAATGGCCTTTGTCCAAATGTCCATGTGGTGCATGTCCCTGTCCCACTCCTTCAGGCCGCACCATCTCCGTAAGGCCTTCCCTGAGCACTCGACTTTACTTACCATTCCTACAGCCCGCCTGCCTTACCTTCCTCGTCACCACCCAGCAAAGTGAACCTTATTTTACTTACTGCACCCCTCCTTTACCATCCAGCCCTATGCTGGCACTTCCACTCCTGAGTGGCCTCACCAGGCCAGCTTCGGGGTCTTTCACCACCACTGTCTGATGCTCCCTCCTCCTGGCTCTCCAACTCCAGCAGCTTCCCAGCCCCTCTGCTTTCCCTTCAGATGCTCCCAGAGTCTTGGCCACCAGGCCCAGAGGAGTGGGTCCCAGCAGAGGGAAGGCAACAAGATTCCTGGTAGCTAACAAGCCATGGTTTGGCCTAAGAAGCCAGAGGACTAGGCAATTAAAACTTAAGTCCCTGCACAACAGGACCAGCTGGCCACAGCCCATTCATGAGACAGGGAAACTGAGGTAAAGGAGAATTACTGACAGAGTAGGGTGCAGGGCTACCCTGTGGGAAGTAGCCCTTTTAGGCTGCTGCTCAGGCAAGAGGGGCAATTTCCACAGGGGGCTGACAAGCCCAGCTGCCCTTGCCCTTCAGTTTGCACACCCCACTTCCTGCTCCCCAGACCCCAAGGTGAGGCTCATTATACAGCCATTCGGCAGCCTCTGGGGGCTCTGAGGAAGCTGAGGGGTAGTCTGCCCCCAGGCCTCACCTGGCGAGGTGGCTCCACAGGGGCCCCCTCCTCACTCTCAGATTCCTCCTCACTGCTCTCCGAGTCCTCTTCTGGCTTCTTGGCCTTGCTGGCTGGAGTCAGGGCGCCTCCTCTGACTTGGGGTGTCACATCCCCTGCCTTCCCAGGGGCTGGGGCTGCCCCTCTGCCTAGAGAGTCCTTGGCAGGGGTGGGCGAGGCTTTGACCTGGGGTGGTTTCACTGGAGGTTTCACCTGGAACAAGAGGACGCAATGAGAGAAGAAATCAGTCTTTGCCTCTGAGGGCTATGAGAGGCGTCACGGTTCATAAAGCCCTTTCCTAACACCAGCCGATCCTCAAAGAATTCCCCGAGACAGATGCTAACTTTACACCCAGGTTCCAGAAAAGGACAAGCAGCTCAGAGACGTTAAGTCACTCACAACCAATATTAAGGGCCAAGTCCCGACCAGAACCCAGGTCTGTGTTGCCTTGGGGGCAGAACTCCCAACCACTATGCTCCTGTGCCGCCCGGCACAGAGGGGCAGCTCTCTCAGCCAGAAGGCCTATCCTGTCTGCCCCTTCAACTACAGGGGTCTGATCACGGTGGCCTTCCCAAGGGCCGCGAGGCCAGGATCTGAATGCCAGGCTTGCCACTGGCTTGCTGAGGTACCTTGGGCACATTCGTTCCCTCTCGGAGCTCTTTCTTAGACTTCTACAACTCGGACATTGCAATGGCAGGCAGTGCCCTCCCTCCATCTCTGTCATTAGTTAGACTTCACCGGGCCCAGGTTTCTGGGGCAGCCATGTCCTCAAGCGCAAAGCCCTCACTGCTGCTAGGGCCCTGTGCTGGCCTCTGGCCCCCGAGCTGTGTCTAGCTGCTGGCTTCCCAGGGCCAAGTGGTAATGGGAGCCTGGAGCGCCCTGATGGCTGTGTCCAGGGCCTGAAAGTGGGGTTGGATGTGGCGAGTGGCTAGGCCTGGGGTACACAGGCCGAAGTTCTCCACCTTCACGGGTTACTGGGTGAAGCAGGAGGCAAGAAGCACTCCAGGCACCAGGTCAATCTGTCCCTGAACCCGTGGCTCCCCCTCCACACCTGCTTTCTAGTAGGCGCCCTGGTGCCAGACACCAGCCCCACTCCAGCCCCACTCTGCCTGCCACATCAGCGCTCTCACTGCTTCTATTCGGATTGCCCTCCAACTCAGGCCACAACCAGCCATCTTCTTTAAACCTAAATCAGGCCATCTTACCTCCATGCCTAAAACCGTGAAACGGCTGCTCACAGACCCTAGAATAAAACCCAAACTCCCCCTGGTGGTCCCCATGTTCAGGCAGCAGGATGTGGCCCCTGCCAACCTCCGATCTCCTAAGGCACTTTCATCTCATTAATGAGGTCATGTTCTTGTTATGGCCCCTCAGGGCTCTCCACGTTCTCCCTTTAGAGTGGCCATCAGTACTATAGTCAGACTTCCGAGGGACCTCCCACCACCCCCCCCACCCTGGCAGCAGCAGTCATGCACCTCCTGCTGCCACTAGATTCCCAAGGCTTGGCTGCACAATAAGGAATGACACTCTGGTCACAGTTCAGAGAAGAGATGAGGCCACAGACCAAGCGCCCAGGACTGGCATCCACCACCAGGCCCAGAACTGCTCAGCAGCCTCACCCAGCTCGCGCGGACCACACCACAGGATGGCCACCGCCTGCCCCTGGGCTCACACAGCTCTTTCTGCTTGAATGCTTCCCCACATCCCTTCCTGGCAAATCCCCTGTGTGTCAAGGCCCTGCTCCAATGCCACCTCTGCCAAGAAGCCTTCCCTTGTCTCACAGACCGGACAGCATCGCTCCCCATAACCTTAGACGTTTTCCATACCTGCGGTGTGATGACAGGGACCTGCGGCTCCCTTCCCCAGGCCTTAGCCTTTCTAGCTCCGGGCCATCCTGAAACTTGCTCAACGGACTCAGCCCCGCAGGTGTGCGAAGCCCTAGCCGGGCCCCTGGGAGGGTGAGAGGTTTGCAGAGGGCGGCAATTACCTCCACGTAGGTCTCATCACTCGAGGTGGACGTCTCCTCGCTGGAGCTGCCGGCCTGGTTGGCCGATGCCATTCCTGAGGGATGGACAGGGAGAGCACTGAGGGCCTGCCCTTCCAGACTGCCCTCCCCGGCTCTCTGCCAGGCCAGGAAGGGAGAGGCAGGTGCTGTGTGTCCGCTTCTCTGTGCGGACCTTCAGCCCCACCCATCCTGAAGCCCCGCAGCTGAGACACATGCCACTCTATTCCCGAGTTCCCCCACACCTCTGCATCCCCAGGAAGGCTCATGCTAGGTCCTACCACACCCCCCGCCCCCACACACACATGCCGCCATCTGATAGCCCGGACATCTCCTCCCATCACCCCACTGAGGCAGGCAGGGCCAACGCCTATTTCACATGAGAAACTGGAGCAAACCTGGGCCTCAGTGTAGTCTCAGCCTCTGCAGTGGGCCCTGTACCCACCTGAGAGCAATAAACCAGAAAATGCCCCACCATCACCCGGGCTGCTCCAACTCCCTTAGCAGAGCCGGACATGTCTCTGCAGCAGACCCTCCCCTATTGAGGCACGGGGCCTTACTGCCATGGAGACAGACCTCTAAATTCCAGAATGTCCCAGAGCCCGACAAAGCAGTGCCGGGCCTGCCTCCCCAGCCCAACCTTGGGGGACTTGGCATCTAGGGATTGGGGATCCTCACCGGGCTTGGCCGTGGTCCTGAGGGCTGGGACACTGCCCTCCTCCTCAGTTTCTGAGGCCAGGACGGCATTTGCTGAAGGCCCTGCTGACTTCTTAGGCGACCTCCCAGACAGAAGGTGGGCCACTGCCTTCCCAGAGGCAGGATGGGGGGTGGAGTTCACCACCTTGCTGGCTTTCTTGGTCTTTGCCTACAAAGGACAGGGGTGACAGACACACTGGGAATGACACGCACAGACCACCTCCCAGTCTGTGAGTTCGGGCAAATTACCTCCCTGGGCCTGTTTCTTCATCTTTAAGTTGGGGCTGAAAAGGGTAGCTCCCCTCAGAGGCCCGGAGAAAACCCAAGCACAGGTCTCGGGATACTGCAGCTGCCTGCTAAGTGCTAACCAGTGGTCTGCCGCAGCTGCTCTCACTAGCTCGCGTTGTCGTCAGTGCCCCACACAGCTCAGGGACGTGTGCTGTGGTGTCTGTGATCCTGCTTTGTGGACACCAGCGAACGGTGTTCTACCTTCTCAGAGGCTGCGCTCTAGAAAATGACCTTCGAGCTTTCAGACCCCCAGGGGGCCTGTTTACCATGGTGCCCCCACTGCCCCCCACAGTGCCTGCGAAGCATCTGGCTCAGTAACAGGCTGTTGGCTGAACAGGCGAACGCCCAGATGGAGGAGGAAAGAAGTTGTGCCCAGTGGCCCATAGCAGTGGGCGTCACCCCCATCTTACAGAAAAGGAAACTGAGGCCCAGAGCAGTAAAGGGACTCACCAGGACCACATGGCTGGTGATAAAGGCCCACATGTGAATCCAGGTTGGGTAATCACTCACAACCCCATCCTTCTCTGACACAGGGGACTGTCCCCCTACAGGGATCTTAACTCCCACGAGCGACAGCCTGGAAGGTGTTCCTACTCACCTGAGCCTTTTCTTTTGCGCTCGATGGCACAACAGGGCCCGGAACTGAGGAGTTCATGGACACCAGTCTTGGGGCTGCAAGACACAAACAGCCGCCAAATGCACCAGGTGAGCCCTTCCTCATTTCAGGACAGCCGGCAGGTGTCAGCGCACCTAACGATTCAATCAGCATGACTGCTGGGTGCTGGCTCGAGCCTCTGAGGCTGAGCCCGGACTTGTGGAAGAGAGCCCTGGGGTGCGCGAGCCACATCCACCAGAAGCAGGAGAGCGGGGCATCACGACAGCCACGGGGCGGCTCCCCCCCCCCCATGGAGCCCCAGCTCCCTGACAGCACAGGACACTGACACTGATGGCCACCAGAAAAGGAAGCGCTGGCCCACAGTCCTGCTGAGGACTGCCTCGAAGGCACCGCGTGACTTCAGGTTGGGCCATCCCCACAGGCCTCCACGCTGCAGCCCGAGAGTCACTCAGCAGGGCAGGGGACTCGGTCACATAGCCAGCCCTGGTCCACAGAGAGAGGGGCTCGGGATTTCAATGGTTTCTAGTGGAAAAGGGAGCTGAACCATGAGACCGAGAACTGGTCAGATGTTGAGACTTAGAGATTCTTGGTGCTCTTACACCAGGAAACTGTCTCCCCAGATCTTAGACAGGGTAAGATTTCTAGGGTATGCTGTGACATGCGACACTGCTGAGATGCATGGCATGGTCTAACTCTCTTCCTGGCATTTCACTCCATCTCCTTCTCTTTTCTAGACACATCTGGAAGCAGAGGGGAAGTACAGCAAACCACATAGCCCCAACCATTACCAGCCTGTGGCCAATGTGATGTCAACCGGCCTCTCTGCCACCCTTCCCCAGCAAGGACTATTGTAGAAAAAATTCCAGATATCAGATCACGTTCCCCACAAATATTTCAGCGTGTTTCTTTCAATGGGGATGCCTTTAAAATGTATAATTATGATTCCCTTATTACAGAAAAAAGTCCACTAAATAAAAATCCATGAAGCATACCAGTCACTATGAAATTAAACAAGTTTTGTTTTTACGTAGCACGTAGGTGTGGATATGCGCATAGGTGTGGATATGCGCATATGCACAGCTATCCGTGTGACTAGATGTAAAGGGGACAGTTTTAAAGCCACCCACCAGGGTACATTCAAGGGGTAAAAGGGATCCGCCCTGGGTAGAATAGAAAACCTCCCACTTTTCTTCCATATGCTTATGTATAGTTCAAACTGGACTTGTTTTGCATTTATAATCTTAAAAGATTAAAAGACATATATTCAATATGATCTTGAATATTTTTAAAAACATGCTCAGGAAAAAATAAATGGAAGAATAATTTGCCAAATTGTAGGTGGCAACAATGAGGGTAATTTTTTTCCTGCCTTTTTAACAAGTAATTTTCATATCCTATAAGGAATGATCCATAATGAATCCTGTATTTCTTTTACAATCAGAAAATACACTTAAGAATCAAGAAATCACCTTCGATGTAAGCAAAAGACAATAACCTTGCAGAGAAAAAGGATGATTACTCTGTGGAGTCACAAGTCCCTTGGTTCAAGTACAGACTGTCTTGAGGACTGGGGAGAAGGGGTTGCGAAGGTCTCACGGGGTCACCCCCGCCAGTGCTCTGAACCCAGAGTGCCCGGGGCAACCTTCCGGTGCTAACCTGTACGCGTCCAAACAACAGGAAGCCTGTTGCCCTCCCAGCAGCCACGGGCCACAGAGAAAAGGTGCCTGCCAACTGCTCCCTTGGAAATCTTCCCAGCAGTTCTACAAATGTGGGCTTCTTTCCATCTTTATCAGAAGCACCTGGGGGCTCGTAGGACTGTAGCTTTTGTACCCCAAATTGGGCTGTAAGGGCCCACCCAGCTAAGTTTTTGTTCACCACTGGATACCCAGGACCTGGGACACAATGTCTGGCACGAGAAAGGGTTCAAATAAATACTGCAGTAGATAGGCGGGGCCCTTCCAATCTCTCTAAAAGTCCTGGTCTTCCCAGGGCTCACTGGAAGAGAAGCTGGAGGTGGACTCTCCTCTAAACAACCCAATATCCAAACGCCTGTTCCCCAAAGCTGCAGGGCCCGGAGCTAAGCTCCCACAAGCACCAATGACGGAGGCTCCCCCGGGCCCCAGGACTCGTACCGGCTTTGGCGGTCTCAGCTTCTGCCTCCTCCTCCTCCTCTTCTGAGCTCTCTGAGCTGCTAATGGGGTCGGACACGCGGGTCTTCTTAGCCTGCAGCGCTGCATCTTCCTCTGCCTTCCGCTTCTGGCCAACTTCTGACGTCCTGCAGGACAAGGGTGACTGGCTACACCAACCAGGAGACAAGGGCAACTCCGGATTTGACAAGAAAGACCCCCCTCCCCCCTCCCCACCAGGAAATGTGTATACAGAGTTTGAAAACAGTGCAGATACACTTGTATTCTGCATCTTCACCCATTTCATATACGGTTTTTACAACTATTAGTCTCCAAAATAATCACTAAGGGCTGGTGACACAACACGGTAACAGCAGCTAACCAACACCGAGTGGTATGTGCCAGCACCTGCGGGCGGGCCGTTCACAGCCTCATCCAGGCTCTCCCTCCTCCAGAACTTACAGCATCTATAGTGCCCTCTTTCTGGAAGACCCTGCTCAGGTCCTTCTTGTCCTTTGGGCCTCAGCCTCCTCAAAGCCCCTCCCTGATCACGATTCTCCTTCCCCTGACGTCTCCGCTCTGTCATCCTGTTTCATTTTCTTCAGAACACTTTTCTCTCTCCTGTTATTCTACTTACTTCCTGCCTGACTCCTCCACCACATGGTCAAACCCGGGGCAGGGGGAGGGGCTGGCAGGAACCTCTGCTAGTTCACTAAGCGTCTTCAGCACATAGCACACATCTCAAAACATGAACGACTTAGGGACTTGCTCAGGGTCAAAGTATAAGTTTTGGGCATCGGCAGGACAAGCACCCACAGGGCTGAGTCCCTGGAACATTCAAGTACGAGCTCCTTTGACCTCACTCTCCCACCCAGAGGGGAGTCACGGTCCATGTCCCATGTTCTCCAGCTGGGACAGACATGTTCTATCTGCCACAGTTTGGGATGTGGGTCCCTTGGTCCCAGGAAGGCCACTTGTTGGGAATCCCTCCCCACCGCCGAAAACCAAGTTTCATTTATTACACTTAGGAGTTCACTCCGCCTCTCTTCCTCTTCCCAACAGAGTGTTTCACAAGGGCAGGGATTTTTCTCTGGTTGGTTCCAGATATATCAAGAACAGTTCTGACACATAGTAGCTGCTCAATAAATACCCAGGGAACAAATGCCTCTGATGGTCAGGTTTAGCACCTGATTTATCCACCCTCCCCCCTTTTAAAATAGGCTTCAAGCCCAGTGCAGAGCCCAACGCTGGGCTTGAACTCACAACCCTTGAACTTCATGATCAAGACCTGAGATGAGATCCAAAGTCGAACGCTTAACTAACTGAGACACCCAGATTGACCCCCCGCCCCCAAATTTACTATTACTATATTTTACAGATGAAGATACAGACCCAAAGAAGCCAACTTTTCCCAAGGTCATAGAGCTAGCTGTTGGGTTTGAACTTTGCTGGGAACTATTAGGTGAGGCTACCTCTGGTGGGTGTGAGGTCCTCGTTCCATTCAGTACCCCTCACCCACAGAAGGGGCCGGTGACAAGGGCTCACCGAAGCGCTTTTCTAGGGAAGGAAATGCTGTCACACCCAGATACCTGGGCAAGTCAGAGAGGGGGCGGGGGAGGAAGTGCGGGGTGTGCCCTATGCTCTGACCTGACCTTAGCAGCAGAGGAAAGCCAAGAAATGAGGGCCGACAGGACTTTCAAAGACCTTAGCAATCCCTGGACGCTGGGATCTCTTCCACACCATTCTTGCCTTTCCTTACACACCTCTGAGGAACTGTAGCATACCTCATTCCTGGATGGCTCTGATGACCAAGTGCTTATATCCAGAAGCTGCCTGTCTCCCTAAAGCAGTACATACGGATCCTACTTCAGCCTCTCAGAGCCCTAGAGAATTACCTACTCCCTTTGTCCTCAAAGATGTGTAGACACATCACCTGACCCTTTGCCATCTCTTTTCCATCCTGGACCATTCAGTATTTCCTAATCACTCCTCATGGGATGTGACTGCAGGCCCTTCACTCCCCTGGTTGACTGTGGTCAGGCCACTTTGTGGAGAGAAATGATTATCCCCTCCCTCTCTCTCAAACCATTCCTTTGTTGATATGCCCTTGGATTATTGCCCCTTCTGCATGTTTCAGACATTTCACACTCAGTATGTCCTTGAAATCTTTCCCTCCAACAATCGCATTCACTTCCAGCTCCACGCTCAGGTCCACCTTCCACGCAGGAGCACAAGCCAGGCACCTAAGAGTCAACTTGACTGCCCCTCTGGACCATCCCCAGCTCCCACTCTCATCCTCTAATATTGCTGGAATCGGCTGACTGTCTACCCTGTCATTCCTGTCTAAGCCCCACAAGCGCTTGCCTGGGTGACAGTGCCCATACCCTGACCAGCCATGCTGTCCTGCAGTGACCTCGCCACTCTCTACTTCCCCCTTTCAGGGTTCCCGTTGCTCTTGGGGCAAAGACACAGCTTCCCAACACAGATGATCAGGCCTTGAGTGAGGCGGGGCCCACCAATTGCCCGGCCTTGTTCTGTCCCGTGACTGCAGCTACAGGCCTTGGCATCAGCAGCTCCCTCTGCTCTAAACCCCCAAGTGAGGCTAGGCAAACCTGGTTTTGGCACCAAGTCCTTTCAAAATCTTCATTATCATTTAAATTTTACATGGATTTGTTTCATTCTTTGAGGCATGCTTCCCTCCCTGACTCTAAGGTCAGCTCCAGGAAAGAAGGAATCACATCTGTCTCACTGTATCTCCATGAGAGCAGGGCCCAGCATTTAGGAGGTAGGTACTCTAATGACAAGCTCCTGAGAAGCTCTGGTCCTTAAGAGCACGGGTGACAGCTCCCAATGTCCTTCCTCACATCAGACACCCCTATGTGCGACCCAGCTTCCTGGGGGCAACACTGGAGTCCACATTGGGCTCTGGAGACAGATCGCACACCAGGTTAGCATCCTAGTTTATGTCAAGCTGATGGCTTGGCGTGTCCCTACTCTGCTCTTCCAGCCCCGTCCGACTTACTGTTGCCAGTGAGTATAGATGTCCATAAGGGTTACAGGCTGAGTCAGGAAACTTTTCTGCAGAGAAGTAAAGAGAAAGCAGCAATTAACCCTTCAGCATAATAAAGATCTTTTTTAGGCCCAACTCTCCAAAGCTTCATGGGAGACTTCTTGCTCTGGGAAATACGTCTGCTTGGCCCTGTCAGTGCTGCTCAAACCTTCCCGAGACAAGCAGGGCAAGTCCTTCCACTAAAGCCTTTTAAGACAACACATTGGTGAGGGGTACCTTTGAGAGCCTGGAGTTGGAATGTTCCAGGCTAGCACTATCCAGTTCCCCGACACTCACCATGCTCAGAGGCCACAAGACAGGGCTTTTTCTATCCCTGACCTTTCCAAAGTCTTTTAAAGGCAGGGGGTGGGAGTTGGGGGTCCATGGTCCCAGGGCAGTATGAAGCACAGCCCAGACACCCAGGTGGCATGCCTGCAGTCCACTCATCCGCTGGGAAGAGACTAGAACCAAATGCTGCCGGTGCCTTGGTAGAAGCAGAGGGAACCGGGTGGAATCCAGCCCTTTGGAGCCGAAGCCAGGTGGCCCACTCTGCAAATGTCAAGAACCGAGGCTGTCAAGCACCCTGGGGCAGTTGAGTGAGCAATATAAGGCGATGGCAGCGTCAGGGATCTGGGCGGAATGGCTAAGAGGGCATGGCTGGAGTCTGGCAGAGCGCCTCTATTAAGTGGCTGAGTGTGTCCCTTCACCTCTTCGTGATTCAGGTTCCTTCTTTCTAACACAGGGATGAGCTCAGCACCCACCGAGCGGGATGCGGTCAGGCCTGAGCAAGATATTCTAGTCAGTGCCCAGCACACGAGCCGATAACGCCGACACTCTGCCCCAGGCACTCCTGCCTCCTCGCTGCCCCTCAACTGTGTCAGGCCACCTGCCCCAGCCGCGCTCGTTATTCTGTCTAGAATGCTCTCTCCTGCTAACTCCACAGCTTGCTCCTTCACGTCTCTGCCCATATGTCACCTTCTCGGTGGGGCTTCCTGATCACCCTATTTATAACTGAACCCTGACATTCCTTATCCACCTTGCCTGTCTTATTTTGATGGCTCATACGATCATCTGACATACTGTATCATTACTTTTTTTCTTTTTTTTTTAAAGATTTGTCATCTGTCTGCTCCTGCTGTGCCATGTGCTTCATGAGAACAGGATACTTTTGCCCAGGCAAGGGCCCCAACGAAGCCGGGTACAGCCTCTTGCCCCACTTACCTGTTAAGTGCTAGAAATGGAGTAAGAAGGCAGTCAAGGTCCAGAGAGGGTTGGGCAAATCCTTGGATAATGTCTTAGGACCCATCACCCTTTAGTCTCTCCGGACCCTGGAAGCAACCCTCAGGGCCAGAGCCTGCACCACAGTCAAAGGGATGACTAATGAGGTCAATATCCACGTTACTCACTTAAAACCCTCGGTGCCTTACCTCTGCTCTTCAGGTAAAGACCAAACTAACTACCGGGGGGCTCCAGCCAACTCCCCACCCTCTGTGTCACCCTGTACACCACCCTTCGGCCACAATGGACTTTCCAGAGGCCAGCACAAAGGCAACCAGTTCCCTCCCACCAGGGCATCTGTCCCTCCACCTGAATATCCACCTCTCTTCTCCCAGGTCTCAAATCAACATCCATTTCCTCAGGAAAGCTGTCCTGGGCGCCCCGACACAGGCAACTAACTTGCCATCCTGATGCCTCTCATCCTTGGCACCGAACGTGTTATGGGTACAGTTACTTTCGTGACTCTTTATGTCCACCTCCCCTACTAGATTTAGACTGTAAACTCCAGTGGGGCTGGGGCACCGCGCTCAACATTCCATCCTCAGCACTCTGAGCGCCGCTTTAGGAGTTGTGGAAAAGAATGAATGAAGTCAGCAAGGGCCCCACCACATGCTCGAGTCCCAAAGCTGTCAGACTCAATACGGGAGGGACCAGGGCCCGAGCCTCGGCTCAGCTAAAGGGCCACAAGCCCCCTCCCCTTGGCGCCCTCTTCCGCCTCCTCACCCTTCCCCAGGGGCTGGTCGCAAGCCACCCCTCAGGCTCTCAGCAACCTTCCCGGCCCGCGGAGCCACGTGGCCTGAGACTTCGGAAACTTTAAACCGCCGCTACCAGGAAGGGGTGGAGGTGGGCGCGGGAATTCCAAAGCCCTCCGCGTCGGATCTCCCATCCCGGCCCGCCCCCTACACAGCTGGGGGAAACTGAGGCCCAAAAGGACAGAGGGCCGAAGCGAGCAGAGGCTGTGGCTCCTTCGGCACCCCCGGGGGCTGCCCGGATCACCGCAGGGTCCGGCTTCTGTGCGCACGCCGGGCCGCCGCGGGAGGGGGTGCAGGCAGCACCCCTCCAGACCCCGCACGCGGCCCGCGCACACGGCCCGCGCACACGGCCCGCGCACGCTTACCTGGCCACTCTGCTCCTTCACTTCCCGCGCCGCGCGCACGTAGCCCGCCTGCAGCAGATGCTGGTAGATCAGGGGAAGAAGCTCCCGCCGCTTCCTGGCCTCAGCCATGCCGGCAACCCCTGCCTGTCGGCTCACCTGCACGCCCCCCTGAGTCTCCGCCCGCCACTTCCCTTGTGCCCTTGGACCTCGCGCGACCCACTTCCGGCTCCTCTTTCGCCCTGGCCGCGAGGCGCGCCGGGAAGTGTAGTCTTATCTCCTGGAGTGGCAGGCCCCCGGCCTCAAGCGGCTGAAAGGGGCGGAGGCTTGGAGGGTAACAAGGCCTCCCATTGGCGGGAGGAGGGCGTGTTGAGACCTAGACCCGCCTCCTGGCCTTGAGATGAATGATTCCCTCTTACCTCCTCCAGACTTGCTCCCTGCAGGGATTAGTCTTTCATGTTAACTCTGACGGGTGCGATAGGGTCTTAACCATCTTGGAGCATCTTAATCTGCATCTCTCTCTGGTCCCGAACTTCCAGTGACCCACTCATTTATTCATTTCACAGATTGTTTTTAGGACCCATGACTATTTATCATTAATTCACTCACGGCCTAAACCGTTTTTGAGCACCATACCTTAGGTTAGTGTTCACCTAGAATGGAGGGATAAAAAGATGAATAAGAAATGGTGGCTGCCCTCAAAGCTCACAAGGAGGAGAGTCGGTAACCAAGCAACTATGGTTCAATGCCTCCAGCTCATTGTCAGGGATTGGCACAGCATATGGAAACAGGGAGGAGGGGCACCTAACCCCAAAGAGACATCTAGCTTGAGGCTTAACGATGCAACAGGAATTTCTACTTCTGCAGAAGAAAGGACTGGCTTTCCAGGCAGAGGGCAGTGCCTGTATACAGACAGGAGAAACCACCAGGCACAGGCTGGGAAGCCCAAACATAGAACCCAGTCTGTGCTGGTGGGCTGTGGTTGTGGGAAAGAGGGACCGAGTAAGAACACACACAGGAGGATGGGGAAATAAACAGGCCCTACAGCACCCTCTCCTGCCCAGCAGAGCTTGCACTTTGTTCCAAGGGTGATAGAGACTCTCTGACTGGTTTTATGTAGGAGGGTGACCTGGGTTTGCGTTTTTATAAGATTGCTGTCACCAACTTGTGGAGGATGGCTTTGTGGAGAGCAAAACTAGATGTAAGGTTGTACTTGTCGAGGGGAGGTTGGCAGGGAGAGGATGGAGTAGGCTGGGGAATATATGCATCAGTTCTTTTTAACTTCATGGACCCATTGAGAAACTGAAGACACATTGAACCACCTAGACTTTGCTAGAGAATTAAAAAAAATGTTTTCCTTGTATTTTATTTTATTTTATTTTTTTTTAGAGAGAATGAGCAAGCCTGGTAGGAGAGGGGCAGAAGGAGAGAGAGAATCCTAAACAGGCTCCACACTCAATGCAGAGCCCGATGCAGGGCTTGATCCCATGACCCTGGGATCATGACCTGAGCTGAAATTAAGTCCGACGCTCAAAGGACCAAGCCACTCAGCCACCCTGCTGTAGCAAATTTTGAATGTGTAGAGACACATAACATTTTCCTTCCAGTTGTAGGACACAGATAAGCACATAACTGAACCTCCTGGGTTACTGTTGCTCCAGGAAAAGCCAGGGCCAGGACCAGATGACTGAATGCAGTGAGTGAGGAAGAGGGAGGAGTCTAATCTTCTTTCAGCCATTTAGTACAAAGGATTTATTGAGCACCTACTATTATGGATGAAGTAGTCTTCACCCCAACAGAGATTAGAGTCTAAAGCAGAGACACATCATACAAATACATAGTTACAAAGAGCGAGGACATGCAAAGAGGAAAAGGATAGAGTTTTTTATGGGACTGTAAGCACCGTGCAGGAGTCACACGGCTAAGGTTCAGCTTCTGGCTTTGCTTTTTGTTAACTAGGGACCTTGGGTGAGTTACATCACCTCTCTGTGCCTCAGCTTCCTCATCGGTAAAATAGAGGTGATTATACTTTCTACCTCATTGGATTGTCATGAGGAGTAACTGCATTCTAAACAGAAATGCTCAGAAGGGCTCCGAACAATAATTCTGTGCTTATGTGTATGTTAACCATTGGTGTGAAAGCATTTAATGGAAGGAGGGGTTAAGGAAGGATTCCCTGAAGAAGTTATATTTGTGAGGAAATCTGAACTATGTATAGGTGACAGTGGGAGGGGAAGACTCCTAGGAAGAGGGAAGAACCAGTGCAAAGGGCCTGAGGCAGAACGTGCGGCTTAGAGAAAAGACGAGAAAAGGCCTTGGTAGCAGGGCGTAGAGGGAGAACAGGCGGATTGGGGAATGTGGAAAGTGGGCAGAGGCAGGTTCCACATTAAGGATCTTTCTTTTCATCTTAAGTATGATAGGAAGCCACTGCCAGTTTAGGTCCAAGAAGGACAGGATGATTTTTCATTTTTTTAAAAAAAACTTTTAATGTTTATTTATTTTTGTGAGAGAGAGAGAGAGTGAGCAGGGGAGGGGCAGAGAGAGAGGGAGACACAGAATCTGAAGCAGAATCCGAAGCAGAATCTGACACAGAGCTCCAGGCTCTGAGCTGTTGGCACAGAGTCCAACATGGGGCTCGAACCCATGAACTGTGAGATCATGAACTGAGCTGAAGTCGAACGCTTAACCAACGGAGCCACCTGGGCGCCCCTGGTTTTCCATTTTAATGTGACCTGTGGGAATGCTCAGTGGGGAGTGCAGTGGGGTGTGTATACGTACATGCCGGAAGCCAAGGTAGGGGTAGGAGCACAGGCAGACACCCAGGGAGAAAATAACGGTGCGACACCGGTGGCAGTGGAGGTGGAGGGCGGGGAAAGATTCCAAAGTCACCAGGAAATAAAATCATCATGGAGATGTGTTGGAATGGAAAGAGTGTCAGGATGGACTCTGAGGTTTCTGTGCAGACTGGCGGGCAGCTACTTTCCCTGAGAAAGGGACCACTGGGAGAGGACTGGGATGGGGGCAGAGCGAGGAGGGGGGGAGGGGGAGGGGGACACGGAAAGCATAAGTTCCACATTAGCCGCGTCGAGCTTGAAATGCTTTAGAGACATCGAGTGCGGATGTTGAGGGGGCACTTGGGAACCTGGGTTTGGACTCGCACGAAGATGGGAAGCTGTCAGCAGAGAGATGATCATCATGGCCACGGATGAGGGTGAGGGCTGGATTGCCCAGGGAGCAGAACAAGGGCAGAGGCGAGGTGACCCAGGATGGAGCTCAGAGGCGCCCCCACAGGTTAGGGCTGCACAAAGGAGGTTGTGTCTGCCAAGACTGAGGAGGAGGGAACAGACAGCTAGAAGAAAACCCAGGAGAGTGGGTGTAAGGAAGGAAGGCAAGGACAGAGTTTCAGGCAAGTGGGGTGAGCCCGTGGGGAATGCTCTAAGAAGTCAAATGGGATGAGGATGGAACCATGAACTTTGGATTAATGACAGGGACGGCGATTGTTGATGGCTTTCGGGAGTGCCACTTCTGTGGAGTGATGGAGAAAGGCAGGGGGCAGTAGTCTGATGAGTGAAGGAGGGGTGAGGGAGGCGGGTCTTTATGGAGGAGGGAGACAGTGTGACAGGGTCAGTGTGTGTGTGTGTGTGTGTGTGTGTGTGTGTGTGTGTGGTGTGTGTGTGTGTGTTGAGGGAAGTGTGTTCTAAGGTGCAAAAGAGCTGGGTTTGTTTAAAAGCAGATCAAGGGGAGAGAGATTAATTAGGGGTGTAGGGAATAGGGGAGATAATCAGTGAGTGAAGTTCACGAGCATGTGCGAGGGAATGGGATCAGGCATGTGGGTGGAGGGGTTGGTCTCAGAGAGGAGGAGGGATGACTTCTCTAAAACCAAAAGAAGGAACAAAGAGAGGATGGGGTGCAGATGTAGATGTAGGTTTGTAGTGGGATGTTAAGGGAGATTTCATCTTGAGCTTCTATTTTTTCTGCCAAGTGGGAGGCAAGGTCTTCTGCTGAGAGCGAGGAAGAGGTGGTAAAGAGTCTGGAGGAAGGAGGAGAATGAGCATTCTCAGTTGAGAAGCAAACTTGCCCACAAAATCCCCAGTTGCCTGACAGTGTCGACGACCCAGTTGAGGCTGGCGATCATTAATTGCTGTGCGTCCTGTCCCGTCCCACTGAGTGATATCCCCCTTCTTAGTTCACCTACCCAGGTGCAGGCAGGGGAAGCTACTTAGTGGGGTTTATCCGGAGGCCTCCGGTTTTGCCAGATGGGTGGGGAAAAGGGACACAGAGGTCTAAAGTGTTGGCAGGAGAGACGCCCACCTTCTGGGCTCTGGGCAGGGAGGCAAGTGGAGACAGAGTCAGTTTGCAGGCAGAGAGTGGACAGGGCGACCCTGAGGTTGATAACCAGCTGCCTGAGCTCAGAGACAGCTGACAACTCAAACTGATGGCAAAGCCCAGCTACCTGATTGGGTGGCTGGATGGGCCACTGACTGAGATAGTCAACAGGCTGATGGGCATGCACATCTTTGGGAAGAACCAAAGGTTTTTTCACCCCTCAACGAACTAATTTTCACTCCCATGTGGGATCATCACCCCCACTGAGAATGCACAACTCTGTAGGACATAAATTCCATGAAGGCAGATCTGGGGCTGTCCGGTTGCTTGTGTCAGCCCAACCTCAGCCCACATATCTTGGCAAGTGCCAGGGTGGTTGTAGCATATAGCCTGTCTCCTGAAGAAGAAAGGAGGGCAGCACGGGCAGGAGATACGCTGTGAGGACAGGCCTGGAAGCAGAAATGAGGAAGCTTCTAGAAGGCAATGTAAAGGGAATGGGATGATGAAGTTTTGGCTGATGTTGGGGCAAATGAAGAACTGATACTAAATTAAAAACCAAAACCAAAACCAGGATGGTCTAACACCTTCTGTCTGGCAATAGGTTGTTCGATTTTGTTTCGTTCCTAATAAGATTCATTTCAGACACTCAGGCTTTGTCCTCAGCTCCTGGGAGGCGTCCTATTCTGTGGACAACTTCTTTATTGCCTTGATTTTCTAAATCATACCCTTCCCTGAATTGCCTCAGGGCCCAGGCACAAAATTAAAACATTGAACTGATAAAATATAACGTGGCAACAATTAAGGCAGCAGCAAACAAAACAACACATTAAAAAAAAATTAGTCTATGGGG